CACCTGAGCGATACCTCGAGCTCCACCACCACCTAACACAAGTCCGACTGAACGACCACATAGCCGGCGGGCCAGCCGATGGAAATCGCCCTTGAATGGTGTCTGGGCCGAATAAAGAGGCGTCTGGCGTATACGGCGGGATGTGTACTTCTGGATCTCGGCTTGGATGACCTGGACTCGTTGTTTCAATACCGTCCCTAGGCGTTTCGTTTGAGAATGCGTGGGTTCAGCCGCGAGACGATAGGGCATCTGGATGTGGTGATGACCTCCATTGATCCACACACGATTCTTCAGCCATTGACGAGTCAATCCGGGATGACAGTACCGTTCTTCGTGTATCAGCACCAGTTCCTTTCTGGACGTTGTTTTCATGCCCAACAGGAATCGTTCATATTCACCAATGCTGGGCGAGGATTCTGCAAGACCGACCAGCAGGATACAATCGGCCTGGGTAATACAGGTTTGCGTCCACGGTGCATTTACCGTGGTGTCAGCAATGTAGAGCACCATTCCATACTTTTCTTCTAGGTCCGCTAGATATTGTGTCAACTTCAATTTCCCCATCTTACTGAAAGCATGCCGTCCTAGGTGATTCAGGATAGCAGCTTGGTTGAGAGACGTGACGCCGTTCGTCACCCCGATCTGATGCAAGGCTTGCAGCAGCCGGTGCCCGAACTCAACGACAGGAACTCCGCCTGTCACCGGCAAGACGCAAACAGTCCGCAGGTTGAGAGTTGAAGATGCTGTTTTGATGGTGCCGGAATTGCCTCGTTCCAGCCCTTGTTCTTTCACCGGTTGCTCCACCAGGTCTCGCATCCGTTGTGCGATGAGTTTAGATACTTGGATGGTAATCCCGGGGTGCTCTTGCGCCAGGCTGTTAAACAAGGTCCGCGGGAACTTAGCCAGTTCAGTGTCGCGAATTGCATGTAGAGATGACGGACGGGTCGACTCGGTCATCACCTCCAGCTCGCCAATACTGTCACCCTGCCCGTATTCGCTAAGGACCGTCACCTTTCCATCAGTACCTTCGAGAACCGACCGTAAACGACCGTTCAGCACAAGGTAAATAGCATCACTTTCGTCGCCCTGGTGATAGATCACTTGACCAGCATTGACCTGCACCCATTCCAGTGCGAAGTCAATATGGAGGAGTAGGCGGGGGAGAATGCTTGTTAGTCGTTTAGCCAGCGTCAATAGAGCGATCGGATACCGCTCCGCTATCCTCTCCAGAGCAGCCCGCGGGAGGAATCCCACGTAAACATCCGTTTTGGCAACCACGTCTGTGTAAGAGCGATAGGATGCGACGGCACCAACATAGCCTTGAATCCCTCCAGGCTTTATCATATACAGCGACTTCCGTGGCTGTCTCTTGCGCTTAGGGTCACTAGTGCCAGTTCCCATACTTGTGGTCGAAATGCGCGACGTGTTGGTTTGAGTCCGTCTCAGAGTTGGGAAGGATTCCTCGCGAGGTTGCGCATGCGCCGGACGGGAGGATCCGACAAGATCATCTTCTTTATCGCTGACAGGGATTCCCACATCCAGGAATCCATCAATCACATAATACAAGCCTGGATGGCGCTCGCCTTGCTCCACCAGCACGGACCCTTGAGGAAAGTAAACAATCTCGATGTCGTTTCGCAACTCTTCCCTCAAATTGATGACTGGCGACGTACCACCAGCACTTGTGACGGACATCGACATCATTGACTCTGTATCATCTACGGAGGCTTCGTAAGGATCAATAAAGCCAAAAGCATTATTGCCAAACACCGCCTTTTGGCGGCGCGAGTCGTAAGAGAGAAGCCTTGGAGATGCGTCGCCCGAATTTTGACTCTTGCGGAGAAGGCCATTGGTACTTTCGGTCAAACCGATGCCCTTCATGATGCATTCTAGTATAGATTCACGGAAGAGAGCATCCTCGTCCACGTTTTCCTTCCGGTAGAAAGATCCCATGGGCTCGATGATGGGCGATGGGGATCGCAAAGGCGACTGTTCCTTCTCTGCGAGTGGGCTCAGCAATTTTGGAGCAAAGTTCTCATACCTAGACCCAAAGCGCGAGAATTGTATGCTAGATAGCAAGTCCCCAGGGCTAACACCTGCAGCTTCACGATCGCTGAGAGAGTTGTTCTGGATCACAGCCGCAGTCGGGCGCCGCGATACGCCCAGTTTTGCGTGGAGCACAGCGTCTTTTCTTCGGAAACTACTCGACCTGTTTCTCCTACCCGAGAAGGGATTGTGTAGAGCAATTCCTTTCGTGACTTCTTCCGGGCCCAGTCGATTCCGCTCCTTGATAAACTTGTCTTTGAGGCGATCCAGCGCTGCCCCTCGCATTTCGTTCGGCAAGTCATATGTAGTGAACTTGGTCATCTGTTTCTCAATCCCCAGAACCTCGTTGTTCAGACCCAGATAAGAGTGGGCTGTCATGAATGTCACTCTTTGTAACCGCGTGAGGATGACCTGCACAATATGTGCGGTCGCTTTGGGGTAGACCCGGGTAAGACGGCGGAAAGCACTAGCGGGTATAATTGCTATAGTTGTGTCGACCATTGCTCGCGCCACAATATCTGGATGAACCGACTTCTGGCCATGCTTGCCTCGGTGCGCTCTTGTAGTTGATTGGGCATTCTGGGTGTTGGGCGTGGGCGGTGTGTGACTTTCACCAAGGTGTAAGGGAGGCACAGGTGGCAAGAAGTCCGCACTGTCGTTGATATGGGAAGTAAAGCTGCGGTCTCTGGGCAGGGTCGGCGGAGAAGCATCCAGCGCCTGAGGGCTAGCCGGGAAGGAGTCAGACAAACGTGAAGGGGTAGGTCTTAGGACAGATGAGCTCTGCTCAGCACTATCCCCATATTTCAATTGAACATCCTCCGTGAACAGTGATAGTATAGAGAACAGAGACGACATCGATGCGCCATTGTTGACCTCAGTCAAAAGTTGGTAGCCTTGTCTCCCATCGACATTGTGGTCATCCTCGTCCGACGACGCGCGATTCGTTTCTCCCTCTTCAGCTGACTCTCCCTCTCGAGTGGCTTTGACGAAAATCTGTACCAATCCGTCGACAACCAGACAAAAGCCTTTCTCCTCTTCCAACAGAAGCGTCTCGCCCGCGATTAGCTTCCTGGTTTGCATTGTTCGCGTCAACTCATGAAACACCGGTCTCTCCAGGTAACCGAAGACTTTGATCGCGCTGAGGAATTCATCCAGGTAGTTGGCTAGACCAGGCTTGGAGTCTTCCTCTTGAATGTTTGGAAAGAGGTCGAGCTGGGGTTCCTTGCGTTGCGGCTCCGGAGGCAATCGGCTGTACATGTTCAGGAAGCGGTAGCGTATGAACCAGCTGATGGTTGAGACCACGGCCAGCGCGATGAGCAGTCTATGATTGCACCAGGCATTGTGTTAGTTGTGTTGTCGGGGCCCGGACCAGGATCAGGCTCGTCTGGGGTCAACCACTCACAGCGTTGTGAAATTCATTGTGAAGGTCAAGCTCATAGAGAACAGCGTGAACAGCCATGTTGGAAGAGTAATTGTCGAGAAGGTGATAATCCAGTATAACACACCTGGAATGACCTGGAAGAGGACGGAAAACACCCAACCAATCCACCCCACCATGGTTGTCGGAGTAGGAGGGGGTACTGGCCGGGGCGGAAGATGGGAGAAGCCGGGCACCAGGGAGATGCTGGCGGTTATGGCCGGAGGGGTTGGATTTGCGAGGAATGGAGTGGAAGTCGATGAGGCAGAAGGAAAGACATGTTGGAGAGAAGTGTCCAAGCTCGAGGAGGCAAGCAAGGTCATAGCGGACATTCCGCCGTCGGTCATGATGCCATCAGACTTCCCTGCTTTGAACGGCGGCGGCCCGCTAAGGTACGGGGGGGAAAGTGGGCTAGTCACGGATGGAGTCTCAGATAGGCAGCGCTATCCCCGTGGTTCTCAACTCACTGACTGATATCGACCTTTTCGGCCTATCAAATGGAGCAATTAAAAGTCAATCATACCCTGTGCAAGTGAATAATAGACATGCAGCGCAGGCCACGACATGAGAGCAAGTCAAAAACAACGTGGGCTGAGAGATGGTTGTGGCTGGTCTATCGCAAGATGGAAACGAAGGGAAAGGAAGGGGAACAAACCGCCCTTAACCGCATTGGCCTTAGTAGCAACGCCCCGTCCATGTTTCTGATGAACCTCGGAGAATGGTCCAGACTTCCACAAGTTACGGAGTACTATGAGCGAGGTGCTTGTTGTCTCTTACCTTAAGCACTGCCAAATTCTCAGTGTAGTACACTTTACTCAGGTATGGCCACACAATCGAGGACTACAGGTTTCTCACATTTATCTCCAGTATGAAGAACTATCTTCGTCTAATTGTGTAATCATGATAAGGAGTCAATGGCAGAAGACCTCGAGCTTCGTCTCAATATATATTCCGTGTTCGCGTTATTATCTTTCTGAGAACTATCTCCATACTAGTAATGAATATCAATAATCTCGAAGAGCCAATAGCTAATGTAAGCGCGACGTAGAATTAAAGTCTCTCCATGCAAGAGACTAATTCTCAGCTAACTTACATCCAAACAACAACTCAGATGCCCAAGTTGCTGCTGCGATTGTCGCCCCGAATCGGCACATAATCACCCTTTTTTGCTGCCCGTTTCCGCCCGCCTTGGCCGCCCGTGCCAGAGCGAAAGGCGATTGAACAACTGGAACTGCCGCGTATGAGCCTCCACCGCCGCGCCGCCTGCTGCGGAATCTCTCCAGCTCTCCCCAGCCCGTCCTTACATGCTGTTACTCCCCTTCTTCCCTCTCTTTCGTTTGTTCCTCTGTATTATCCTCCTCGGTCGCATTCTCCTCTTCTGTCTCTCCTTTATCAACTTTTTTGCCGTGGCCTTGGCTCATAGGCCCGCTTCGGCCATGTTTCAGGTAACAGCACCTCATAACGTCTCCCGCTCCGAATCGGGCATACCCCTCGTGCACCTCCTGCTCGTGCTAATCATACCGTCTTGGTCACAACACAGCGTTTGCGCGACGCGATCGACTCGCGGATTGCCGAGGAGCAAGCCCGTCAACGCTCCGCCCAAACCTCCATCTCGCGCTCCAACTCCGCCCGCCAACCTTCGAACCGCACGACCACTTCCCCATCCCGCCGCTCTGGCCGCCCGCGCCGCAACACCGGCACCCCCGTCCGGGGCCCCGACCCCAATGAATTCGAGCCCGAGTTCGCCATTGGGGATGATGACTCCTCGAGTAGATCGGGAACGCCGCGACCCGAGGCCGCAGCTGGAGGAGGCTCCGACGCCACTCCGGAAGGCAACAATGCGGCAGCCGGAGAGGGCCAAGGGCAGGAAGGGCCCGTAACGGAGAAGGAGTCCACCCCGGCAACTGCGGAAGGCAACAACAACAGCAACAACAACCAGTCCTCCTCCACCTCGGATCTGCCTCCAGAGGTTCGGGTCAAGTTGCGGCGGCTGGCCAAGTTGGAACCCCGCTACCAAGGTATGCAGCGCAATCCACGCAGGGGGAGCTTTTGGCAACGCAGACTAATGTGGTCTTTCGGTGATCCTCAGAGCTTCTCAAAGCCTATCGCATGGCACACTCGCGAGTCCTTTCTATCGAACCCTTCGAAGCTGCTCTTCGTGAAAATACCCCCTTGACTTCCATCGGCGAACCGAAAGCCCTGACCGAGTACTTGAACCAGCTGTCGCTGAAGGGAGATATGGTGGTGGAGGAGCTCAAGCGTGTGACCACAGAGAGGGATGACTACAAGAAGAAATTGGAAGAGGCTCAAAAGGCAACCAAGGCTGCATTGGATGAGGTTGCGCAACTCAAGGCTGAGAAGGAATCAAATGAGAAAGCCTCGGACGCCAGTGAGTCGGTCGCGAAGTATGAGGAGAAGTCTACAATGGAGGACACTGCTGTGACCGCCGCATCACCGAAGAAGTCGGCTGAACATCAAGGTGATAGTGAAGAGTTCTTTTCTTACGATAGCGAGATCCCTCGTCTGGAGTCCGAGCTGAAAGAAAAGCAGGAGGAGATCGAGTCCATGAAGACTCAAATGGAGTCGCTGAAGCGTGATCTAGCAGTGGCGCGCGAGTCCACCGAGGGCATGGTTCACAACCTCGAATCCGCAACCCGAGAGCTCACAGAACTGCGTGATTTCAAGGATAAGCAGGACACAGAACTCGAGAAGCTGAAGTCTTCCAAGCAAGGAGAGCTTGACGATCTGAAGGCTAAGCTTGAAAAGTCCGAAGAAATGGCATCGAAGACCAGCGCGGAGATTGAGAAACTAAAGTCCGATTTGACAGAACGGACCGAGGAAATCGAGAAATTGCAAGCTAAGGCCTCGCCATCCCCTGCTGCCGGGAAGGATGCCGATCTTACTGCGAAGTTGGAAAAGATGGAGCAGATGAAGGAGGCTAATGAGAAACGTCTCAGCGTACTACAGGGTCTTGTCGACAGCCTCCGATCCCAGCTGAAGGAGAGCGAGGAGGCAATGACAAAACTGAAGGGCGATGCTGAGCAGAAGAAGGAAAACAACCTGCAATTACAAAACGTCGTTGACTTCCTCGACACTAATATGGAAGGCAATGCCACCTGGCAATTGACCAAGGAACAAGTCATTGGCGGCAAGCAAGCCAATTTCGATGAACTCCGTGAGAGCTTAGTTCCCAGCCTTAGCACCACTGAAGCTCAGCAGGAGCCGACGGAGACTGCAAAGCCGGTCGTGAACCCGCCAAGCGCTGCGGGAAGTGGTAAAAAGAAGAACAAGAAAAAGAAGAAGGGAGGGGCTGGCGGTGCCAAGGGCGGCGAAGAGGCTAGCAAAGCAACGGAAGCTGACCGGGATCCGTCGCCAAGCGCGGAACCTGCTTCTGCACAATTGACAGCGAAAGTGGCTGAGCTGGAAGAAAGTATTGATACACTAAAGAAGCAGCTGGACGAGAAGGATGCCGCTATCGACCGTCTCAGCTCGAAACTCAAGGGCGAGGAAGACCTGAAGGAGGAGATCGAGTCCCTCCGTGACGACCTGCTTCACATAGGTCAAGAGCATGTGGAGTCAAAGGATAAAGTGAAGGTGCTGACCGCGGAGAAGCAAGCTTTGGAGGAATCCATCGCCAAGCTGGAGAAGGAGTTGACGGATCTACGCACGAACATCGCGTCTCATGCGTCTCAAAGTGCTGATTCAGAGAAAGCGCATAATGATCTCAAGGAGGAGTACGAGAGTATCAAGATCAAGCTCACAACGCTCGAAACTGAGCTATCTGCTGCTCAACAATTGGCTGCCACGAGGTTCAAAGACATCACGGACTTGCGCGAGACGCTCCAAAGACTTCAGCCAGAGCTGAAGAAGCTGCGCGCCGAATCTTCGGAGCTCAAGTCCACCAAGGAGTCCCTCACAAGCAAGACGAATGAGTTGAGAACTCTGGAGAGCAAACACGATGACCTGCGGGCCGAACTCAAGACCCTCAAGAACACGATGTCCGAGCGAGAGAAAGAAGTGAAGACACTCAATAATAAGATCAAGCAGGAAACCGACAGTAGGCTCAAGGCCGAGGAGAAATTGACGGTCGCCCAGTCTGACCTGAGGTACTCGGAGAGTAAGAAGCAGGAAGCTACGGAGGCTAAGGAGAAGGTCACCTCAGAGCTGTCTAAGACTCAGGGGGAGCTTAAAACCGCCCGCGCCCGGCTCCGCGAAAGCGAATCCCAGGCCAGTCAGATCAATAAAGAACTTCAAGGCCTGCGGGAGGAGATTCAACTCAAGACCGCCCAGCACGCTAGTGCTCAAAGTTTGATGAATAGTATGCGCGACCAAGCTGCTGAATTGGGGATGCAGATGAAGGAGGCTCTCGAACGCTGCGAAAGTCTCGAAGAAGAATTAGCGGATGCTCACCGGCTGCTGAGCGAACGCACTCGCGAAGGAGAGACCATGCGGCGTCTTCTGAACGACATCGAAAGTCGCACCGATGCCAAGGTGCGCGATTTCAAGGAACGTATGGAAGCCGCCATTGAGGAGCGAGATCGCGCCGAGGATGAAGCCAGTGCTCAGGGTCGACGCCGTGCGCGTGAGCTGGAAGACCTGAAGAGTAAGCTACGCGAAGCCGAGCGAGCTCTGCGCAGTGTGGAGCAGGATAAAGAGGAACTGGAGCAGACTCAGAAGGATTGGAAACGTAGACGGGATCAACTGGAAGCCGAATCTGAGAAGACGACCCAGGAGCTTGCCGATCTGCGACAGGCCATGGCAGGTCTGCGCGATTCGCTGGATGAAAGCGAGAAGCAGGTGCGCGACCTTGAGAAGGAGAAAGCCGAGCTGCGCCGATCCGTCGAGGAAACGAATTCTCGTTTGGAAAAGCTGCGTAAATCGAATAAGCTGCTTCCGGATGAAGGTCGCTTCGGTCACACTGCACAGTCGTCACGGTCCTCGATCGATTCTGGCTCTAGAAGAACCATCACCTCCCCAGTTGCGAAGGAGCACAGTCCGTCGACACGCAGCGGCACGCCCACTGGAGTCGGCGCAGGGTCCATTGATTACATTTATCTGAAGAATGTTCTTCTCCAGTTCCTGGAGCAGAAGGATAAGAACTATCAGAAGCAGCTGATTCCCGTTCTCGGCATGCTGCTGCACTTTGATCGGTCAGTATTATGCATATCCCTTTGCATATCGTATAAACAGCTAACCTGTCATAGAACGGACGAGCAGAAATGGATGTCGGCCATTTCCTCCAAGTAAATGCTCTGGTAGCCTTCAAGCACATATTTGTAACTGTACATAGTCGCATATATCTCTTCGCAAACACATATTCACACCTTCCTCTCCCTTCGTCTTCTTCATTCTTCTATTCGATTCCCCAGTGTATACATGCGCGCTCTTTCTGAGTCACTCTGGACACCGGGAAAGTCAAAGGTAAGGCGTGAAGTTCCGTAAGGCGTGGAGTTCCAGCCAAAGAGAGCCAGCCTCGATACGGATCTGGTGGGGAAAAGACCCATCGGTCCAGGCGGGTCTTCGAATTCGGGGAAGCCAGAGACACTACTATAAGAAGGACATCCGTTCTCCTCATGGCTACATCCCCCAACTAAATCATTTACTGACACCTTATCTTGCATCCCTCCTTCCGCACGATGTCTGCACAACCTACAATTCGTCTCGCGACGCCTGAGGGTAGGCCTACCAGTACCCTCACTGACCATGTCACGCTACAGCCTCACTGACCGGATCAATGCAGATGTCCCCATCATCCTTCAATTTATCCGCGAGCTTGCCGACTACGAGAAGGCTCTTCACGAAGTCGAGGCAACCGAGGAGTCTCTCCTGGCGACTCTGTCATTCCCCGACTCTACCCCCAAGCGAGGCTCTGTCTACACTGCGCTCGTTATCCCTCCGGCAACGGCGGAGCAGCCCAACCCCCTGCCAGTGGGCATGGCCCTTTTCTTCTACAACTACTCCACCTGGCGCTCGGCTCCGGGCATCTACCTCGAGGATCTCTACGTACAGCCGAGCGCGCGCGGCAACGGATATGGCTTCAAGCTACTCAAGTACCTTGCGGCTAAGGTCCTGGAGGTCAACGGCAGACGGCTCGAATGGAGCGTCCTCAAGTGGAACGAGCCTAGCATCAAGTTCTACGAGCAGGTGGGCGCCAAAGCGATGGATGAGTGGACCAAGATGATGATGGAGGGACCCGCTTTGAACAAGCTTGCGGAAGGAATCTGATCGCGCGCGAGCTTTGACTCTGGTTTGTGAATCATCAGGCGATCATTGTGAGTCTGGCCTCGGGGGGACATACACCAATGCCTTTCTGACACGTTAAGTAACCAAGTGTCTTGCGGGTTGTGTCGTGGTTTGCGCTGGTCAAATTCTCAGAAGAGTCGCTTTCGAGGCTCTCAGCAGGAAGGACTGGAACTCGGTAAGCCCTTGGCTATGTTTCATTTTTCAATCGCTGAACATGTACATACATACATTAAAATACCCCCGAGTGAGGATCACGTTTCGAGCGATATGCAGAATAGAATTCTTAGTGTTCAACATTTACTCTGTAGGATGTGAGATCGAGGAAGTTTGTTGTACTTGAGTATCATGCGACCACGAAAATAGAATCCAGATCTTAGACAATTGACGATCGGGTCGATCCAGAGGGCAGATGAATGCATAGTGACGGAGGGGGAGGGTCCAAGCCACCGCCCAGGGCTAACCCTACAGTCAAGCTTCGAAGGTGACGTCGTCATCGCGGGCGGAAGGAACCCCCCCCCAAACATCCCCTGATAAAAGCTTCAAGCAGCGACCATTTCTTGGATAAGAGCTCACCACCTTATTCAATCGCACGGATGACTTGAAAGCTTACATCTCCTTCTGATATGGCTTCTACAACTCCTCGCGATCCCGTGCATAATAACCACTATGTCGACTACGTCATTCGTTATAACTTTGGCGATAATGGTAAGGGCGCCAGCGTACCTGGCTGGCTATAATCATTGAGTTTCCTCGCCCTGACCCAGTGTAGACATCGTACAGACTACGGAACAACTAGAACGACTGCTGCATAAGCTGTTTGAGGTTGGATTACAAACCGAAGTGAGGCAGGGTGACGAAACATCTCTGCTGGTCTTCGTTCGCGCCGCGCGCAAGAAGAGTCTCCAACGCGCAGTGTATCAGTCCCGGTGAGTCCTTTACCTGCGCCTTTTTCTATGAAGGACTTGTCGCTTACTGTGACGTCTTCATTCTTATCGCAGAATCCGCGACTGGCTCTATGGCGTCCGCAACACCGAGCCCGAGCAGGAATCCTCGGCCGAGCCGCAGTCCGAGTCGGAGCGACTGCGCGTCATCTACCACATGATGACAGTGCCCAAGGAGGCTGGCGGCGCTGGTATCACCCCGAAACATGGGGAGTGGAAGAACGTGGATTCGATCTTTCCCTTGCATGACGAGGAGATGAACAAGCAGTGCATGAAAGACTGGAGCCAGAAGACGTTCCTGTCCCCGGAGGATCTAGATCAGATACGCAATATCTTCGGAGAGAGTGTGGGTACCCTTCACGGGATTCGATGCTCAGTACAGTGTCTGGAAACTAACAACCGTGCGGAACTCTAGGTCGGCTTTTACTTCTCGTTCCTTCAGTCTTACTTCAGATTCCTCCTGTTTCCCGCGATCTTTGGGTTTTCCTGCTGGCTTCTGATTGGGTCGTTCTCAATTGTTTACTCCGTGGTCAACTGCCTCTGGTGCATCGTGTTTATTGAATACTGGAAACGACAGGAGGAGGACCTGAGTTGTCGATGGCAGACCAAAGGAGTTTCCGCCGTCCGCGAGAAACGGCGCGAGTTTAGGCCGGAAAGAGAGATTCGGGATGAGAGCACCGGAGAGATTAAGGGCGTGTTTCCAGCGACAACGCGCATGTGCAGACAGTTGCTCCAGGTCCCCTTCGCCTTGCTGTCCATCATCGCTTTGGGAGTTATTATCGCGACATGCTTTGCCATTGAGATCTTCATCTCTGAGATCTATAACGGGCCACTCAAGTCGTACTTGGTAGGCCTCGCTAGTACCTGGTGTTACTTCGTTCAAATAAGCTGACGGATCAGGTCTTCATTCCCACTATCTTGCTCTCGGCCTTGATTCCGACGATGAGTACGGTCTTGGTGTCGGTTGCGACCAAGCTGAACGATTACGAAAACTACGAAACGCAACAAGCTTACGATGTCGCATTGACGCAGAAGATCTTCGTTATCAACTTTATCACATCATACCTCCCTGTGTTCTTGACCGCCTTTGTCTACGTGCCCTTCGCTAGCCGGATTGTGCCACACCTTGACATTTTCCAGGTGACTGTTCGTCCATTTGTCTCGAAAGAGGTTGCTACGAAGTCACGTACTGAATTCAACATGGACCCCGATCGCCTACGGAAGCAAGTCATCTATTTCACCGTCACAGCTCAGGTAGTCGGCTTCGCCATGGAGACCGTCGTACCTTTTCTAAAGCAGCGTCTTCTACGCCAATACAAAGATTACCTACGCAAGAAGAACGGAAAGGTGGAGTCGGATTCCAGCTCTGAAGAAGAGGAATCGCCAGAGGCTTTGTTCGACGACCACCCCGATGAGACCAAGTTCCTCATTCGCGTCCGCAATGAGGCCGATTTGTCTGACTATGATGTGACCGACGATCTGCGCGAGATGTGCATCCAGTTTGGTTACTTGGCTCTATTCTCTCCGGTCTGGCCGCTCGTCCCCGTTTCATTCCTGATCAATAACTGGATTGAACTCCGGTCCGACTTCTTCAAGATCTGCGTCGAGTGCAAGAGACCTTGGCCGCAACGCGCGGAGACAATTGGCCCCTGGCTGGATAGCCTTGGGTTCCTGTCGTGGGTTGGTAGCATCACTACCGCAGCACTTGCGTACATGTTCAGCACCAGCCACGAGGGACCCGGTGGCGAGCCGACTACGATCAAAGGATGGGCCTTGCTTCTGACCATTTTCTTCTGCGAGCATATCTACCTTATCGTGCGCTATGCAGTGCGAGCGGCCATGGCCAAGCTTGAGCCTCCGAATGTGCGCAAGGAGAAGACCGAGCGATACCTTGTGCGAAAGAGGTATCTGGAGTCCACGGTTGGAGCCAGAAGCAGTGACGATGAGATCGATATCGACGAGAAAGAGGACCAGTCGGAGCAGCTTTCTCAGCTGACTCGTGATACCCTGGAGGACGACGCCCGTTCCTGGGCGACTCATGACACGGATCCCGCTGAGCGGTTCTGGATGCGGCAGAAAGGGTGGAAGGAATCCTCCCAAGTCGGCGCAACGATCATCAAAACGCTCAAGAGAGACCCGAACGCCAAAAAGCAGCAGTGAGGAAGAGACATCATTTCGACCCTTGAATGTTGTGTACTATGATGCTTGTGCTGCCGGGTGGTGACCAGCGTGAAAGGGATTGTTCATATACAGCTCATGACTTGTGATAAAGTGACAAGTTCATATCTTTGTTTATTAGCTTCATGATCAACTGTATTCTGTACATATCTATCTGCAGTATATGAAGATTAGCAGTATCGAACAGTCGTTACATGTTCTATGCCCAATGTGCTGGATTTGCAAAGATATTTGAAAATAAACGGCCAAATTGATCCGCTGCTGGCGATCTTCACTTATCAACTGCAAGAGCAATGAGGATGGTGATTGGATGCACAGGTGTCGGCGTTCCGATGCCGAAACTCCGACGGAAGCCTCGGAGACATCGCACCGAGAGTACCCATCAATAGTGCCCATTTAAAAGGGATAACGCCATCCTTTGCAATTGAGGTCATTGGGCCAGGGTGGTTGCACCACTTTGTCAATCCCCTCTGCATTCTGACAATCCGCGGCCTTAATGCAAGCCCAGAAGCACGCCGACCGTGGATGAGTCAGCACCTGCATGCCGGATCAGTCGTCGATCCGAGGAAATGATGGGCGGCTTTGTCAGCAATATTGGCGCGAACCAAGAATAAGAACAACCAGAATAGCTACAGTTACAATAGAGAGAGATGGTCTAATGAACCTACGAAGCAGGCTAAGTTCTTAGCAGTCAGATACTTCTACCATATAGTTACTAGAAATACGTAGGTACATACCAGTCGGAGTCATCTCTCCGTAGTCATCGCATAAGTCATTGCCGGAAGTTGAGGAATCGTGCCAAGAACTAAACAACCCAAAAAGGAGTTTAGTCTATTCCGTCGGGCGTACGCACTCAAGTCTTGAGTGCCGGAATGTGGCTTGGACACCTGAGGCAATTCTGATTCACCGGATTCCAGCCCCTACCGGGGGAGCTACCGGGGGGAGGTGTTCAACAATTGTTGGTGACCGTGGACCTTTTTCCTTCCCTTCTTCCCTTTCCCTCTCTTCCTTCTCCGTCCTACACGTCACCGTCTGACTGATACTTTAACTAATCGCCTTCCCCCCCCCTCCCTTCCAGTCTCACTTGCTTACGAGATCAGTCCTCCCCTCCCTTCCCTTTCCCCCCCAGGTTTATTCAACGCCAATAATAGTCAGCATTTGGACTATCAAAGCGAAACGGACATAACTCGTACCTCACCAAGTACCGTACTAGCGCTAGCACTTCCACTTCCAGGAAGGCTATCTCCGACGTCGTCTGCTTACCTCATCCTCTCCCTCTCCTCCGTTTCCCTTGTCATTCTCTACATCCTCTCTCCCTTCTTAAGAGACCAGGACATCTATACAAGCTGAGCTGTTCGACCGGCCCCTTGCCCGACTCGAATTGGTGATATTTTGTTCTGTTTGGGCGCATTCTCGTTGTTTTCGAATCCTATACTCTCGATGCAGCCCACACTAGCCCCAGCGCCGCATCCAAGCATGCAAACCTCTGCTCAGGTAAGCAGCCTAATCGTGTCGCGGTTTGTCATCAGATCGCGTTTGTCCCATCCACCCATTGCCCCAGATCGTTCCCGAGTGATTTGCTTGTAGACATCGGTCCCTATTCTGTCTGTTCTCACGGTCGCTTCGGCTGCGATTTGGGTCCACGATGGGGGCTACACCCGAGAATCGACGACGCGACTGTCTTCAGCGCCTCCCCGGTCGCGTCGCGACGATTACCTGCATGATCAACAGTGATGGTGATGCTAACATTGATCTGTCTCATAGGATCATGCGGATCAGGGTAAGCTCTTACCTCTTGACCCAGTATTGGAGTTGAGTCGATACATGAGCTATGGCGACCGGAAAATTTCTCGCGTAGCTGGGATCGACTCAACCGGCGCGTCTGTTGACGGCCAACTTCGCCAACCTAGTTACCTTGACTTGCGAGACCCGGATGCTAATGCGACATCTGTACCAGTGCTGCACGATCAGCTGCTAGCTGCTCATCAACATATGTCTCACCCACAGCAACCGCGCCCGCAACCGCAGACGGCACCGCCTCCGCATATGCAACCCAATATCACGAGTCCGCGAGATCAGAACAACATTGACCCTGCCATTTCAGGCGCCACAATGCTGAGTGGCCCCCCGCAAACACCCCCTCAACCCGAGCCTACGAGCCAAGAATCGCCCAAGACCTATGGCAAGCGACCGTTGTCGACCTCCAAGCGCGCTGCGCAGAATCGTGCCGCTCAAGTGAGTAAGCCCTTGTCGCCTGAATGAGAATTCGGAGAATGCGTGGCTGACTCTAGCAGAGAGCTTTCCGCCAACGGAAAGAGAGTTACATCCGAAAACTGGAAGAACAAGTCAAGGAATTCGATGGCATGTCGGAGACGCTGAAGGCCCTCCAGGCTGAGAATTACCAGCTGCGAGAACACATTATCAACCTGCAATCCCGGCTCCTGGACTCGCAGGGCGAGATCCCCGAGCTGCCCGGCAACATTGATTTGAGCCAGCCACGAGCAGACCTGTCTCTTCCTGGCACCGGTCCAGCACCCACGGGGGCACCTGCCCAGGCTCCTCCAGGACCTCCCCAACAGCCTCAAGCCCAAACGCAAGCATCTGCGCCCAATGACGATATGAACTCGCTGAACCGCATCGCCGTGGCTGGCCTGGGTATGCGCAAACACCCGAATGAGGAAGCCAATTTTCTAGGAAACAACTTCCAAGCTCGCCGCCCGCGCGCCGATGAAGGCCAACCAGATGCGTCCGACGTCCCGAAGACGGAAATGAGCCACGGCTTGCCGGTTGTTTCATGAGGCATCACACCATATTGATCACCTACTCTGCGTTCTTTTGCTGTTTTTCTGTCCCCGTTGATCCTCGAATTTAACCATTGATTGCTCTGGCTTGCAGTTTTTCTCCCACCCTTCTATGTATCCTCCTCGGTGTAAGGCGCCATGTATCTAGGTATTATCTCTGGCTCAGGAAGGAGCGGCGTTCTGCGTTCACTCTTCATATTCTCTGTCTACTTTATCACATGAAACCTAGAAGGGAATGAAAATGATAACCACGCTAGCATGCCTCTATATATGTCTTCTACTCAATTGTAGACCTCATCATCATCACTTTCAAAAATTGTAGTCCAAGTATTCTGTTATTTATGCCTCTTTCTCGCCTCAATTTGACTTAAATGGTTGACACGGAGAAGGCAAAGAAGGCTGCCGGAAGAGTGACTCCTCTGAACCTGGAGGTGCTTTTCCGTCCGCTGAAGTGACCTGATTATTTTGTTTATGGAGGCTGGGTCTGGAACATTTTCTGCATAAAGGTGCGATGTGAAGAATTGCTTTTCTTTTCTCAAAAACAGAGACCCCCCATTGGCTTGGACATGATCTCCAAGAGTACCTGGTATCCATGGGTTTTAGTGACAGGGTTTGTTAAGTTTGCTTACCCCACACCCATTGTTTATCATCTTCCCCCACCCTACAGCCACCCTACACTTTCTAGCATTGCCCCTCCTTTCAGTCAGACGACAGAGAGAGAGAGCAATCTGTGCTCGGATGCCACATACTATTTCACTCAATCTCCCCATGCTGAAGAATTGCTCGACAACATGGCTGGCCCGACTCTGATTCAAGGACCCGATGACCCCGTCGGGTACCGGCCCCGGAGTTACCAGACGGAGATGTATGAGGCCAGTCTGAAAGGCAATATCATCGTTACGGTGAGGTCAAACAGCGGCACATTGGTCAAACGGACAACTAATGGCGTCTCTCGCTTTGATAGATGGGCACTGGCAGCGGAAAGACGCATATGTATGCTCTGCTACTATGCTCCCACATGCACTTGTGTATGCTTTGAACTCTAATCATGACTATATAGAGCCTTGTTGCGGATCAAGACAGAACTGGAGAGGAACCCACACAAGGTGAGAAGAAAAAAGAAAAAGCACTGCACCTCCGATGTACACAGTTTAACTGATGCGAATTGCGAGAAGTTGATCTGGTTCTTGACCCCCACTGTTGCTCTATGTCAACAGCAGCATCAAGCGATCTCAGCGCATATCCCCGCCATGAGAGCAAGAACCCTCACCGGGCTGGATAAAGTGGAGTTGTGGACAGATCAGACTGTCTGGGATGCAGTGCTTCAGGACGTCCAAGTGGTCTTCTCCACACATGCGGTGTTGGCCGATGCTATGAGCCATGGATTTGTGAGGATCGGTCAATTGAGTCTAATGATCTTTGATGAAGGTAAGTGACCGACGTGGAGATTCTCGCTGGTGGTAGCAGGACGGAGCTTATGATATCGAGTATTACTAGCCCACCATTGCATGCGACGTCACCCAGCCAACAAGATAATGCAAGACTTTTACCATCCGGCTCTTGCGGAGTACGGCTACAATGCAGTGCCAAAAATATTGGGTCTGACGGCGAGTCCGATTGTGAGATCCAAGCCGGAGGAGCTCCAGTGAGTGTGGTCTGGGACATGTTGGCCTGTCTTCTCCGTGTTGACCACCATGAAATTAGGAAGATCGAGGCCAATCTGGATGCAATCTGCAAGACACCCCGCAAGCATCGACACGAGCTGCGGAGGTTCACGCACTGCCCTCATCTGCGGCCAATGTTCTATACTCCTTTTGATCCTGAGACAGAGGTAATTGGGAGCAGGACGTTGCGAGCCCTTATAAGTGCCTGGCAGACTCTCGACATTGAGGCCGACCCGTATGTCAGGCAGCTGCGGAAAAGTCCCGTAAACGGGACCGCACTGCAGAAGGTGCTTCTCTCGGGCAAGACCTTCTGTCGCGAGCAGCTGAAGAAATTCGCGGCCCGAAGCACACATATCTTCGAGGAACTCGGGGAGTGGGCCGCTGACTACTACATCGCTGCGTCGTTTGAACAACTAAGATCGAAGTCAGAGGACTCTCAATCCGCGTCGGGATGGACAAATGAGGAGAGAGCCTACCTGATTAGATTCTTGTCCCAACTCCCTGCCCCGAAAGTCACGCTCACATCGCCCAACGCGGATGATTATCGAATATCTCGGAAACTGAGTGTTCTTCTGGAGTTCTTACACGAAAGAGCGCACCCAGACTTTGCAGGGTTGGTCTTCGCAAAGCAGCGTGTGACTGTTAGTGTGCTGGCGCGACTCCTGTCAGTCCACCCGTCGACGAGGGGTCGCTTTCGCTCTGCCGCCTATGTTGGCTGGTCCAACGGTGGCAGCAAAGACGTCCTGGGCGAGCTCTTGGATCCTCGACTGCAGCGTGAAACCCTAAGCGACTTCAAAAGTGGACAGACAAACCTGATATTCGCAACCGATGTGCTTGAGGAGGGTATTGACATTAGTGCATGTAGCGTGGTGGTATGTTACGACAAGCCACCCAATTTGAAATCGTTTGTCCAGCGTCGCGGGCGGGCTCGACATAGGGAGTCGACCTATGCCATTATGTTCGCAGATAATGACGAATCTGCTGGAACCGGCAGATGGGAATCTCTTGAGCAAGCCATGATAAGAGCTTACGAAGATGACGAACGGAAATTGCTGGAGGCGTGTGCCCTTGAGGAGCTCAACGAAGAAGTGACGGAAAGACTTGTCGTTGAGTCCACCGGGTATGCACCATTTCAGAACCCTACTATCGTATCATCCAGCTAATGCCTGATACAGTGCTGTGCTCACGGCAGATGGTGCTGTCGCACATCTGACGCATTTCTGCGATGTCTTGCCCCGTCAGTCCTATGTCGATACTCGGGCCGAATACTCGTATGAAATGGACGATGCAGGATTGCTGAGAGGAACAGTGATTCTTCCAGCCTGCGTTCATCCTAAAGTTCGTCGCACCGACGGCAAGCGATGGTGGAAAACAGAGCGGGCAGCGAGAAAAGAAGCAGCCTTCCAGGCATACAAAGCGCTGTACGAGTTCGGTTTGCTGAACGACAATCTTCTCCCGTTCACCGGCAAAGAAGAACTCGAGAAGACTGATGCTGCGGACATTCCAGCTCTACTAGAAGTGGCAGAGCAGTATGATCCTTGGGTTGATTGGGCGTATTCATGGTCCTCGCCGGATCTTCATCAGACTCGAATTGCTGTTGGACGCAATGGAGAGGCTGCCTACATGTACGTGAGGTTGACTACACCGACTGTATTGCCAACACTCAACCCGATGACTTTATTCTGGGACAGCAATTCGACCTTCACATTGAACTTTGAGGCTCCCAATCGGGCAGTAGGTCTGACAGCTGACGCCGTCGAACATATGGGGTCGATCACCTCACTTTTCCTTAGGGCAACTAGTTCGAAACCTGCGACACCAGAGCAAGAGCAAGACTTTGTGCTGCTATTTGGGCCCGACATACCGCACACTGAGCTGGAAAGCTGGTTCCTCCAATATGAGGGTATTGAGTCTGCTTGTGATGTGTATACCCGCAACCATCACCCTGTAATGGGTGTCGTAAGAGATTGCTACAACAATCCGATGCTTTTCCGGGAGTGGGTTGTAACAGAAGAGGACGGCTTGACTGTTGTCAAAGTCGAGTGTACTAATCTCCCTCGCAGGAGGAACCTTCTGCATCGCCAAACGTTGGCTGCAAAGATGGACGCTATGCCAGTCACTTCTGCGAAAGTGTGCGTTATACCAGCAGACTTATGTACTATCGAAAAGCTCTCATTTACGCAGAGCATTTTTGGCCGCTTTATATCTGCTATTATCAATAAACTGGAAGTGAATCTACTTGCGACGAGGCTGTGTCAAGAGATCTTGCAAGATGTCGACTTCTCGAACACCGACCATATTATAACTGCCATCACTACACCCTCAGCCAGCGCCTTAACAAATTACCAGCGGTATGAATTCTTCGGTGACACGGTTTTGAAGTTTACTGTATCCTGCCAGCTCTTCTTTCAGAACCCTAACTGGCATGAAGGGTACTTATCCCAGGGAAGAGACTCGATTATCAAGAATCATCGCCTCGCTCGCGCCGCGCTTGACGCCGGGCTGGACGCGTTTATCATCAACAAGGCTTCCATGCCGCGCAAGTGGAGTGCGCCGCTCATCTCCGAGAAACTAGCATCTGCTGCCGGTCGACGTTCGATATCGACGAAGGTGCTTGCTGATGTAGTAGAAGCTCTTATCGGCGCAGCGTATCTCGACGGCGGGTTTGATCGAGCCCACGCCTGCATCCGACGCTTTCTTCCCGAAGTTGACCTCAAACACCTGGGCCAGGCTCTGCCCTTCGCCGAGTCCCAGTCCCCCACCCAGCATATCGTCAACGACGAGAAGCTCGTCGAGCGCATCGGCTACACCTTCCAGAGCCCGGCGATCCTCGTCGAGGCGCTTACCCACCCTTCGTGCCAGCACGACGCCTCGACGCAATCGTACCAACGCCTCGAGTTCCTCGGCGACGCCGTCCTGGACATGGTCATCCTGACCACCCTCCTCGCCCACCCCACGGAAATCTCCCAGGGCGAAATGACCCGCATCAAACACGCCGTCGTGAACGCCAACCTCCTCGCCTTCTTCTGCATGGAGTTCTCACTCACCCAAGCACGCACCCAGGTCGCAACCCACGCCGCGGACCAGATCACCCTCTCCTCCGCCACCGAGGTTCTGTCCCTCTGGCACTTCATGCGCTGCGGCGGCGGCACCGACTTCAAGCACGCGCGCGACCAAGCTTTCGCCCGCCACCGGGCCCTCCGCGCCTCGATCCTCGACACCCTGCACCACGGCCCCCAGTACCCCTGGCAGGCCCTCTCCGCGCTCAACGCCGACAAGTTCTTCTCGGATCTCATCGAGAGCGTCCTCGGGGCGATCTTCGTGGACTCCGACGGGAGTCTCGATGAGTGTGTCAGGTTTGCCGAACGGATCGGCCTCCTCTGGTTCCTGCGCCGCGTCTTGGCGGAGGGGGTGGATGTGGTGCATCCCAAGATGGTGGCGCAGCAGTCGGCTGCAACGGCTGGGCTGGGGGGTACGGTGTTCACATCGCAGCGGGTGGTGGTCTCGCAGGCGCAGGGGCCGACGGCGGCGGCGGAGGAAGACGCTACGTATCGGTGTCAGGTCGAGATAGCTGGGGAGGTTGTGGTCATGGTCGAGGGTTGTTCGTGCGCCGAGGAAGCGGAGGTCAAGGCCGCGTATCAGACCATCGAGCTTCTGAAGAGTAGGGGGGCCTAAGGACGAAGGTAACGACGATGAGTCTCTGGTTTTGCCCACCCCTACTCCCATTCTGGGGATCGGAGATTGGAGATCTTCTTGGAGAAAGAGTGTTTCTTGGATGCTTGGATGCTTGGATGCTCTTGGGAGACGGCAGTTCGCTCTACTTTAAAGTACTACAATACTTGGACCGGAGCAATTACATGGTATCTTTTGGGCAGATACATAGAAGAGATCAGAGTGACCATCTTTTGGAGGCTTGCATTGGTTACCGGGTTGACCACAGACTGCTTTTTTGATGCTGCTTTTGGTATAAACATGATACTTAACAGAGACAGATTGGGCTATTAAAGGGGCAAGCGCATGGGCTTTCATGCTGGTTGAATGATAATGGAAGCTTGGCATTCTATGGTCGTGATTTCAACTCACTTGATACCTCGGTATAACTGACTATGTCGTCATTCCATACAGCTGACTCGCTTTGCCATGTACCCCAAGTCCATACCGAAGGGTGAAACGCACAAGCTACGTATTCATTGGAGTAAGAATGATGTATTGTCCCAACCATACCAAGAGAATAAAAGCAATGATACAAAAGTCCCTAAGGAGTCTACGATCGTAGCTCAGCCCTTTCTCTTCCCCGCTTTACCACGTCCACGAGTCGTCTTCGGAACAGGTTCCTCCTTCTTCACCTCTTCCTCTTCCTCGTCTTCTGCTTCATCCTCCACCAACTGATCCTCGGCCCCCTCGACGCCATCACTCCCCGAATCGACCTGCTCATCGTCACTGGCCGCAACAATCACCCCGTCGTCCGATCGCTCGCTAACAGACGACTGGACCTCGACATCGGTGTTCTCCGCAGCGGCAGCGGCGGCGGCAGCGGTAAGTGCAGGCTCATTCCGTATGCCCGCAAGCACCTTCTTGGCCTCGCTCTCCTCGCCATTCCACGCGCCACAGCTCCCGCACCGCCAGCGCCCCAGCTCCTCCAATGACTTAACCCCGGGGGGCGCCTGGCCGTTGACCAGCCGACAGGTGGCGCAGATCAGCACCATGCGGTTCTTGGGCTGCGTCTCGTCCTCGCCCAGCAACACGTCCAGCAACCGATCATACCAGTGTGAGGATTCGATGTATTGCGGCGGGGTGGAGGAGAAGGCATTGGGCGCGAAACCCGGCTCGTCGAATGCAGGCGGTGAGGGTAGGTTCGACCCCGGCCCCGACCTGGGCCCCTGCTGCTGCTGCTGCCGCTGCTCGTGGCCTGGAATCATGAACGGAGAGGGAAGAGGGTGTTGCGCCTGTTGTTGTTGTTGTTGGTGTTGCGGTGTACGACGGATATTGGCCGTCGGGGGTGGAGGTAGCCCCGTGCGTTGAACGAATGGCTGCTGCTGCTGCTGTTGTTGTTGGTTACGCTTCTTGCCGGCGGCCGCGGAGGCGTCAGACTTGCGCTTCTCGTCGCCGGTTCGGGACTTGGTGCGCTTGAGGGTGCCACCGCCATATTTCTCCAGGAGCTGCTGGGTGGAGTTGTAGCGGGTGGCTTCTTTGAGTTTCTCGATGGTGGCGTCGCGTTGTTTCTGGAGGGAGTCGAGGTGGGCTTGTGTCTTGGTGATGCGGTAGTCGTAGTACCGTGTGGCGCCTGTGCGGACGGTGTAGATTCTGTTTGCGGAGAGAAAGCGATGTGTTAGGTTTGTTGGAGACAAGACGAGGAAAGGAGCTGGTGATTAACGGGGGAGGGGGGGGGGGGATGAGGTCATACAGGATGGGCCCGCCGACTATGGCGGCGTATTCAGCTATCCCCCAGTTGTGCCATCCTAGCACCAGAGCCAAGATGATGGAGTAGAGGAGGTAGGCGAAGGTGGTGTAGAGGGTCCAGAGGGCCTTGAAGCGGCGGGCGTGTTGCCGGTGAAGGTCGAGGCGGTTGGTGGTTCGGGTGATCTTCTCGGATAGGGCTGATAGAGCTTTCTCGAAGGATGCTGGAGAGTCGTCTTCGGCCTGATGTTGGGGAAGGTTCCCGACGCAAGTGAGTGAGAGGGGTTGCGATCAGTGGGTGTGGAACGTACCTTGAAAGGCCACAGGCGCACCATGGCGGTGTTGTTCGTGTAGCGAGTTAAACTGAATTTCTGGATAAGTGAAAGAAGACGGGGAAACAAGGATGGAATGAAGCTAAGTCAAAAGCATATTTGGTAGACGGGAGATCTTCGTTAAGTTCCCTAGAGGGGGGGGGGATGTATTGGATATTGGAATGGAAAAGATTGACTGAATGAAGTGAAAGAAAGAAAGAACTTGGAATGGATGGCTGGATGCTGGAGATGCGGGAACGAATTGCTGCCTCAGCTTTGAGGGGGAAAATGACAACGACGTCAACGTCAGCTGCAGCCGCACAGACCACTTACCGGTTACGGCCTGAAGCTCCCCTGAGTCGCCGCCTCAGGCTCTCTCCAGGCTCTCTCTCTCCCCTCTCCGCTTCTCTTCCTACACTCTACTGGTACTTGAGTAGTACATCCACACTCCATCCTCCACACTTTTCGCCCCTCCACTTGAGTCGGTTTTCGTTCTTTGTTCCATGCTTCTGTTAATGACAACACTCCCATTTGCGCCTGCGCCTGCTACTGGCGATAACCATTTCAAATATAACTCAGCGGACGTTGCCTCGTCATCGTGTCACAAGCATGAGCATCTGGACCTCCGTCGGCTGCCTAGATACCCCGTGGGTCTGTCTTAGGCAGATAGATATCAGCTGGCAGCGTTTCTATGATATTTTGCTGAGTTGGAGTTTTGCCTGAGTACGGGAAAAGTGCTTCCTACCATTTCTCATCTGGAAGAATGCCCCAGCTTGTTGATTCTACGAGATCCCACCCCGCGGTTGAGGCCCAGGGCACTCCGTATGCACAAACAAGCTGCAGCCTCTTGCGTCTGTGTGGCCACTCACAACCGCCTGCCGGAAATCACCTCCTGCGTGCTGGGACTAGTGGGGTTGACGCTAACCTCTTCTCATAGGGAGGCCTACCCAATTACAAAGAGTTCACGAGGGTGTAATGCGACAGGCAGTATTTTGCATTGCATGCTACAAACAATAGCCAGCGAGCTCAACCCTGGAGATCGAGGATCGAGTCCCTGGTTGACAGCAGAGCTAGCCGCATTCGACCCTGGAAGCCTGCTAGCCAATTTGGCATTGATCAGCAGGGGTCTGCGCAGGGATCGGGCGAGGGAGGGCGACCACCGTAGACCCAGACATCGTCGAGAATGCCATCAAGTCGCCGCCCACATTAGCTCTGTGGCATATGCCTCTCGCGGTTTCTTTGTCTGAAGTCTGGCGCGTCGAAAGCACGACCACATAGGCGGTTCCAGACTCGCGAGACTGCCGCCGTCAACCACGGTATGGGACGACAATAAGCTTTGGCCAGTTCGGAGCAATGTAGTAGAGCGTGACAGAGCATGCAAGGGGAGCTCTTCGCTCTGATTTCAGCTTGCCAGTATCGGCAGCAATTGATTAGATAGATACGACCAAGGCCCGACCTACCGTCTGCTGAATGTTTCGCCACGCTGGGAAGTATTATTTTACGCGAATTCCCCTTCGGCCCTCCGCGCAATACATCGAAATGGAGACATCCACAACGAGCAGATGCGTAACTCTCCTACCGATAGCATCCTGGCATCTAAGTGGTCGATGTTCGGCGGTCGGAAATGCACAGCCTGCATTTGCTGGCTAGATAATCGAAGCTACCATACTTCGGATAAAGGACAAGCTTGACAGCTACCCTTGTCAAAAGCATGAGATCCACGGTATGGAAGGGATCAACCCGCAGTTCAAACTACCCTTGACGCGACTCGATGAGGATTCTATTAGCTCAGCACACTCATGATGCGCGGTAGCGCCTGGACATCGAGCCAGATTCTCTGTTGTTTTGAGACACCTTTGTTTGGAATCTATGAGGCCCCAATGCCTCGGAGCCTCGGATTCGACTATAATATCCACATACCTATTCATTCCGCACTATTACCTGATGAACATCTTCTTGATATCAGAGAGCATGATTGCACATTATACCAAACATTAACCGAGACAAATATGGCGGGCACGATTCAACTGATTCGCACTGTATCTCTTCCAAAGACCTTCTTGCTTGCATGTTTCCTGGCGGTTGCCGCGTTTGGCTCGATTGAGCTCCTGCTTCTGATATTTGACTTCTTCAAACGTCGCCGGGGGTTATACTTCTGGAGCCTGCTCTTATCGACCTTGGCCACCCTCATCTTCACCGTTGTCATTACGCTTCTGTGGTTCGCTGTACCCCAAGCACGCTTTGGGCTGGTCTTCGTCATTGTGATTTGCTATCCCACCCTCAATGTCGGCAACACCCTGGTCATCTACTCGCGGCTTCACCTCGTCACCAGTGGCCGCAAGATCCGATGGCTATTTTGGATGATCGTCATTAGTTCGGTGGTGTTTCTACTCCCACAGGCCATCATCGTCACTATTTCCGCCTCTCCCGATGGTGAACATGTCAGGAAACTTTACAAAATCTTCGAGAAGCTGTCCGTGACAGCCACCTGCGTACGCGAGATGATCGTGGGCGGCGTCTTCGTCTGGGCGACAGCCCGCAACCTCAAGCCCCTGATCATGATCAAGGGCCGTGAAGGGCGTAAGATGGTCTTCTACCTGATCGTCGCGACCACTATGATGGTTGTCACCGACATCATCATCGTAGTCGTCGTCCTCTGCGGCCAGCTCTACATTATTTCTGCGCTGACAGCTTTCTTCTCGGTCCTCAAACTGAAGCTGGAGTTCTTCAGCCTGGGGAAATTGATCCGCCTGATTCAAAGCGCTCCGGGCGTCTGCCATCACCAGGCAACTGAGGGCAGCTCCCTCCGCTTCGACAACTCCCCCGAGGTCAACGACCTGCAATTCAACGAGGGGTCTGCGCGCAGCACCGGCGCGCAGTCCGGCCAACAGCCAAGCTCGCAGGAGACGACCCAGACCCACCAAGAAGTGACAGTCAACCCGAATAAGACGCCGGAGACGCCCTCGTCACCCAGGACGGGCGACTCGATGGCGACCACATCCCGCACGCTGTCGACCGACCCTCTCGTCCACGGCCGACAAGACCTCGAAGCCCTCGAGCCCACGCTCAGCGCTCAGCAGCATTTCACCCCGCGAACATAGAGCAACGCAGTATGAGAAGCCGTCGGTGTTGGTTGGCGTTGATGTTGTAACGCTCTTCCTCGTTTCACCGGAATTTGCAATACAAAGTTCTTTCGTGTCGCACTGATCTGCAGACCTGCTTTTTCTTCTTCAGTGATGACTATACCTTGGAGGGATGGACTCTTGTCATGTATCATGTAGCCAAGAACGAGATTATCAGCCTGTTTCCCTGTATGCTAGTAGATGTCCCCGTATATTTGATAGAGCATATGCAAGAGCTATATACCCACCCAAGATATTATCATTCATCCCACCTTGGCCCATTTGCATTCACCGGGGCTTCCACTTGCACATTCCCGATGTATCAAGAACACGAGCAAGCTAATCACCCCAAACAAGCCATTCGGCACCCCCAGCCCTCGCCCATCAGCAATTCCACTGACCTCATCCGCCTCAGTAATTCTTCCTTCCTTCCTTCCTTCCTCCCTCCCTCCCTTCCCCCGGTAAGTCCAACAACCCTCCCCCGCATCTTCAAATGGTCGATTACCCAGCTCCAACCCTCTCACAGATCCAGCAATTCACCAATCCATCCGTCGATGCAGAAAGCCCCGGGAAAAGAAGAAGGTTAAGCATGCAATCCTATCTCAGCGAGGAAGGCCCGGCACCTCGAGGGGGAGGGGGAGGGATGCATCGAGGGTCCGAGAACCTAGAACCCCATCTTGATGGAACAAAAATAAAAAAAAAATTACAAAACCAAAACAAAACAAACAAGGTAGACGGCAGATAGATACCTCGCATCTCCCTTGATCGCGCGCATGGGAGGTGGCCTGCTCTAGGTATGCTCTAGCTCTATCCATACCTACCTCGTCTCCTTCGTCTCTTCGGCTTTATTTCTCGAAAGGAACGGATAGAGAACGACACACTGGAAAAAACGACAAGGGAAGAAGCTAGAGAAGGAAAGGACCTTTGCGGTTGGCATGTTCTTGTATCACACTGATGTGGAAAACTCCATAGGTACAGTACAGGACAGTACAGTACAGGAACCGCCTGGAGTTTCGAGGCATGCATGTGTACATGTACATATCTGGACCGGGGGAGGGGGTGGGGGGAGGAGGGGCGCTGCTACATCATGGATACAGAGGTCCTACACAAGGTCGCGTGAGAAAGGGGAGATTTGACATTGAGCGTGATGGTATAGATCCATCGAAATCGAACAGAATACGACGAAGAGGAGGGTTTTAAACAACCGGCGGTGACTTGACTATAGTTTAAGATCATGGGAAGTGAATCACATTCTGCCTCGCAGAGGCCAATGGCATCCAGCCAAAACTCCAATCCAATCATGCCCATCGTATCTGCACCACGAGACTTCAGAAACAACCCGTAACTCCAAAAAGAGAATCCTAATAAATGTACACATACACAGTCCCACACAAGACACAAAGGAGTAGAAGGTTGTGGTGTATTTTGAGCAGCGCAAAAGCTGTAGTAGTTACTCGAACGAAAAGCATGCAGTCGAGAACCAGAAATAAGAAACAAGCCCTGGCCATTGATGGTAACAAGAAATGATAAGGCCCAGCCCAAACCAGTGGGGTATACATGGAGACAATATATGGTTTGAGTGGGAGCGGTCCCAATAGGCAAGAAAACACAGAAAAAAAAGGAATCTCGATGGAATGAATCCAGGTGTAAATGCAACGAATTTTTCATCATTATGACTTTGATAATGGAATCCCAACAGAGATAAAACAAAAAGATACGAAGATCACATGCTCCTGGACAAAAGGCATCGTAACCGGTCATAGAATTTTCGTTCCTCGTCATATGGAAGGATAAACGGGCAGGGAAATGGGAGGGTTTTCGGGATTAAATGGGTTGATATGATCGGTGATATAAGAGTCGGCAGGAGTTCGAGGAAGGGAGTTGGAGGTGAATAAGGTCGGAGGGTAAGCGAGCCGTAAGCGCTGGAGACACTCTAAAACCAGCCCCCGTTCTCCCAATCTCCAGGCCGGTAGGTAGCATTGCTGCGGGCTTTCTGGTCTTCCAATCCACTGAGAAGCACATTGAGACGGTTGAAGTTGATGGGCTTCATCACCCATCCATCAAAGCCTGCACCAACATACAAGGGCATGTCTTTTTCAAGAAGTGAGGCGGACACTGCAAATATTGGCACCCGGTTGTTGGCTTCTGCGATCGGGGAGAGGGAGCAGTTCGGCTCCTTCTCGAGCTGGCGGATCATCTTGGTTGAGTTCAGACCGTCGACGATAGGCATCTGATTGGAAAAAGGCAAGAAAGTCAGTATGGTGCATGTCGTTGGATGGGGGATGTATCATCGCTTACCTGTATGTCCATCAACACAAGGTCATAGCGCGCAGGATCGGCACGGAATGCCGCCGCACATTCCTCGCCGTTGACAGTCAAGTGAACAGCGTGGCCGGCCTTTTCGAGTCTTTTCTGGATGATCTTGCTGTTGATAGGATCGTCTTCCGCCACGAGGATACTGTAGACGCCGGAAGGAGTCTTAGGCTCGGAATCCTGAAGGATCGTTTGGCCCTTCGAGGGTTGCGTAATAGGAGATGCGGGCACCTTTGTATCAGGTTGTGAGGAGTTTGCGACGTCATCTGCTGACTCGGTTTGGGCGAGTTTGGACAGTTCTCGGATAGATACGCCAGTAAGCTTATCTTTGAGGCTGTCGATCGAAATTTGATTGGGATGTATTTTCTCGGCACTACCAGCTCGTGAGATGTCGCCGCTACGTCGTCGGCCCTCGTGAGGAGTAGTTGAGCTGTTATCCACAAGCACAAACTCTTCCTTCGCCTGAAAGGGCGTCGGGCTATCAGTATGAGCCGGAATGTCAGTCGGCTCTAACTCCGGTTGTTCATCGCTTGCGGTCACGAATTGGAGTGAGATCTGAAACCGGCTTCCTTTGCCTTGCTCCGACCGGACACTGAGCTGACCGTGAGTGTTGCGGACGATTCGCGACACCAACGCCAGACCCAAGCCCAGGACTCCCTTTTCTCCTTCTCCTGCGTTCGCCTCGGTTGGGTTGTTAGGATCGCGATCGAAGAAGTAAGTGTCGTCGTCGTTATAGGAAACCTGTTCAAGCTCTTGGAATAAGGTTTCGAGCATCGTGTCAGACATCCCGCATCCCGTATCAAGTACTGTCATCTGCATGGTGACGACGCCGGGCTCTGGGGTGACAGGAGCGCGCCAGAATTCGACGGTGACCTCGCCCTCGGTCGTGTATTGAACGGCATTAGAAATGAGGTTACTGATTGCTTGTCGCACGCGGCGTTCGTCGCCTAGGACCGTCCGAGGAATGCCTGGATGAGTGATCACAGTGAATTTGATGCCCTTGCGTTTAGCCTCCCCTTCAAACATCGCAGTTGCCTCCTTAAAGATCTGAGGTAGATCGAAAGCCTCGTCTTTAATGAGATTCTGGCCCTTTTCGGTGTTGGTGAGGTCCAAGAGATCGTTGATGACGTAAATGAGAGATTTGGAGGCAGAATATGACTTGGTGAGATTGTCGCGAGTCTCGGTATCCAGAACGCCTTCTAGGGCGATCTCTAGGTAGTTAATGATGGCGTTCAACGGGGTCCGGACCTCATGGGCGGAGTTAGCCAGCAGTAGCTTCGTCAGCTGCGATCCCTCGAGAGCGGCTTCTTGCTGTCGCCAGACCTTGATAAATTTACCATATACAAGGCAAAGAACAGCGGCAGTTTCAACTTCCGACTCGGACCATTCACGAGACTGGTCGATCACTGTCTCGCTCCAGACCTGAAAACTCTTTCGGGGCTCCAAATGGCCATCTTTGAATTCCTTCTCATGAGGATTGCCGCCCCACTTAATCTCCGTCAGCTGGCCCTTGCGGAAAAAGACAATAAAGTCCTTGCCATCGGAAGAAAGCGGCACATAGAGCATACCCGAGATATGCTTGAAGCCTGGAGGATAGTGCAAATCGGGAAAATCTTTCGTTACATGATGCGATGCAACCACCGAATGAAGCTGACGCATCTTCAAGAACTCTAGTAAGGCCAACATTTCATGAGATTCGGTTGATTTGCCCAGGATTTTGGTTTCGCCGCGGATCGAAATAGCCCCGTAATCCGCATCAAATAACTTGAGCATATCATCTGACGAGGCGATGATATAACCCGAGGGATTTGCATCGGTCGGAATGGTGTTGATCAGCTTGCGAGCTTGCAACCGTGAAGTGTAAGATAGACGCTCAATATTGCGCGAAAGGGTGTCCCCGATCAGTCGACACATCTTGCGAATTGGAAAAGGCACCCTCATAGCCGCGTCGCCGTGGGTATGACATGAGATCAAACCCCACAGGTCATTGGGGCTGTTAATACTGATAGACATGGACGACCGAACGCCCATGTTAGCAAGGTAACGGATGTGAATGGGCGACATTGCTCGTAGATGGGCGTGGGTCAGATCTAGAGGCGTTTCTAGATCCTGTGAACTGCGGCAGACGAGCCGCGAAGTTAGTTGGTCCCGATCGTAAAGTAATCGAACTTTATTTATGCGATACAGATCTCGAGCTTGTCTGGGAATATCCGCAGCGGGGAAATGCAGCCCTTTATAGAGATCTTTGGTGGTCCGCGGGTCAACCAATTCCGCCACGACGGTACCGTTATATTCGCTATCGAATTGATAAATCATCACACGATGGAACCCGGTCAACTCTTTCACCAGACCCACCGTAATGTTGAGGAGTGTATCGAGAGTTTTAGCATCTCCTAATTGATCCTGGATTTGACTGACGATGCTGAACACCTCCATGGCGGCGGCTTCACCGCGTCTCCTGCGGGCATTTCGTAGGACTCGTAGTGGTTGGCTAATATTGACGGTGCTGCTCGCCAGTTGTTCGGGGGTGGGGTCAAACCCAAGAGTGTCGGATTGGGCCAGGGGCGTCGTGCGACCGCCCATGTTGAGAGGGTTGAGCCGGTCATCCTCCAGCTCAAACTCGCAAATGATGATCTCTCGTTGAGTAGGGATCACATGAATGGCGCACCAAAATCGCCGGGGGCGTCCACTTCGATCGTTGACCGACAATATGAACACCTCCGGCCCGTCCGCACTGGGATCATGACCTTCATCGCGAACGAAGTCGACATGATCAAGAAGGATGTCGGCCTGATCCTCCGACAACAGGTCACAGAAGCTCTCAAGGGCGAACAGACTGCTCGGGGTGTGGTCTAAGATAGCCTCCGAATTTTCGCTTGCGACCCGAACTGATAGTATGCCATCCTCGTCTTCTCGCATGGCGAGCAATACCCCGAAGCTTTGCACTGCCCCCGGAATGTGGATGGGTTCGTCTTCGCAAGCCATGAACGTATCGGGCGTGTTGCCAGTGATCACGGCGTGTCCGCCAGCAGTCACGACATGCTGGAAGCGGGAGGTGACGTGCGTCTTATTCTTGTCCACCAGCAGCAGTGTCCCGTTAGAATCGACGGGCACCCGTATGCCAGCGTCGGAATTACGTGAATGGCCTTCGGATGGTTGCTGGGAGGCGTAGTCGGAGGTTGCGGGGGTATATTGAGTTTCGCTACCACTGGCAGCAGCATCGCTTGGTGGAGTAAGGACAGGTTGTGTGCGAAGTTGATCCCACGTGTCGGAATCGATGATCGAGTAAGATCGAGCTCCGCTTCGGGACTGCGTGGAGCTGGTCGTTGCAATGGCTTGAGACGGACTGGTCGGAGAAGGGTTGACGGAAACGATCGATCGGATGGGGTAGACTCTATCTGATCCGCCGACGCTCGTATCACGACTCAGATCGGGATTCTCTGGGCTCGAACCCGATGAGGCCCCGTGGGTGTCAACTGCTAAGTCCGTCTGCGGATCGTCGTCGACATGCTGCCTGGAGACGGAGGAGGAATCCATGTTTGCGACCATCGTCGGGATTCTGAAGAGAGGATGGTCGTGGTTTGATGTAAAATCTTGCCACGGAGATCCTCAGCGCATTGATGAGAGATATTCACAAGCTTACATCAGTGAGTGGTGTATTCGGGTGTGCGAGATGGGACCGATTCTCACAAGCGAGACAAGTATGACGATGGACCGATGATGCACAGATCGGACCCTGACAGCGGGTGATAGCGATGTCCTGCGCACAATAATTGCAGCAAAGTCTTGCCCCGAGATGAGCAAGCCTCAAACGCCACAAAGCCCTCTGGTAGAGCGTAGAGCAAGTGCTGACACACAAGGGAGGAGGGGGAGGAGGGGGGGAGGGGGGATGGGAAACGGGGGGGGGGGGGGATCCCGTTCCTTCACGTGGGGCTGATATTGTACTAGAGACGAATTAATTAGCGACTCCAATCAGTCAGTGGCGACCCCGGGAAAAGCGAGCAGTAACCGATTGGTACGGATAATATTAATAACATCGAAGGCAGGATGAGGGAAACCCACGACAAGTTAAGCCCAGCACGCGATGACAGGGAAGGAGGCGAAGAGGCGAGTGGAGGAAGAAGGGAGGGGCGCACGATGGCTTGATCAATGATGCAGGCGAGAGGGGGGAGAAAGTCTTATTGTGGAAGGACGCGTGGGTGTGCAGGAATAGCTTGTGATTAACATTAAGGTAGGGAAGAATTTGAAGTGATGGGGTCGAAGAAGATGATGTTGACGTTGTTGTTGTTGTTGTGGTGGTGGTGGTGGTGGTGATTATAATGATGATGGAAATGATGGTGGGAGTTGCCTTCCCAATGTCTTCGCAGGAGGAGGTGCTTGGTGTGTGTGCTGTTGAAGGGAGAGAGAGAGAGACGGAAGGGTGATTGAGAGGGGAAGGGTGATAGTAGGTAGGCAGTTCGCAGTTGGAGGCCCGAGAGACCAGGAATATTAGGTAGAGAGAAGCACACTCACTCAGCACACAGTTCTTCTGCTCAATTCCAATTGCCTTTCTAAGAGTGCCGAGTCTTCTTGTCAGACGTGCCAATTTTCCGAGTCTTGCCAGTCTTTCCACACTTCGACGACAACCCCATGGGTGAGTGACTGACTTGGAGTGACTTGGAGTGACTTTGCGCTGAGATTTGATGGGGAAAACGAATCAACGCGGCCCGGCCGGGTGGATGAGACGCTCGATTCGGTTTAGTCTCCAGCCCTTACTGCACCAAAAGTTGGCAGCACCAATGAGAATGGCAGGAAGCTGTCGCTGCTGCAGTGGGAGACTCTGCGAGAGTTTGGGAGAGACTGGGAGAGCCTGGGAGAGGAAAAGATCACCTCCAATTCGATCGGATGGCGTTCCGACAAATCAGACACCACTTTTTGACACCCCCGTGACGGCTGGATTAGTATGGTAAAGCCGAATCGAATGCATTGCTTACCTCAGCTGTCCGGTTGCGCTTCTTTCTTTCTATGGTACAGTACACAAAAGGGAAAGGGAAAGGAGATAGAAAGGCAATGGAAAGAGACACAGAAAGGAGTCTCTAGACCGTAGTATCTATCACTCGAGTCCTGACGCCCGACACTCGCCAACAGTCCTCCCTGGGAAAGTTTTCCGGTGATGACCCCACGATTGGGAATTTTTGTGCCCTTGTGCAAATGACCGAGGGCCGACCGCGAACTAGGCCTGAAGTTATCTGTTCCCCCGAGCCGCTCAGTGGAATGAACAGTAATGAACAGTTGTGGTCGACAAGTAACAAGGGGAAGTAGCAAAGAGAGAAAGAAGGGGAGAGGAGAGAATCTTGCTCCTTTTTCTTTTCTTTTGTGTTTGTTTTCCTTTCACAGCTACGGAGTAGTTGTTTTCAGATATTCCGTAGCTTGATTCAGCTCGAGCGTCACAAATCCTTTCCCACGTATTCAACCTCCCAACATCTTCAAGTCAAATCCCAATCCTCTTCTTATACACCTCCAATCCAGCAGGCTGAACCCAAGGAGGCTAGTAAGTGTTCATGTCACAGGCCTGGAATGGCAGGCAGGTGTGGATCGCCATCATCATAATCATCATCAACAAACTTGCACGACATGATTCTTGGCTCCCCCCTTTCTTCTAGCATAGTCCATTTTCAGTAAGTAGATGTGTTTACGAATTTGCCAGAAAATTCTGCAATCCTCGTCGCGAATCTCGATAAGACGGGTGGGTTTCTGCTGCCTTGCCTTGTGGCCCGAGGGGGGATGGGGATGGGGGGGGGGGGGAAGATCATATTACCGTCAACTCGGATATGCTGCAGCTGGTGGGTGGATACGCGATCGAACGATCTGTCTTGCTCCAGGTGGGAACTAGACCACCAACTACTGTGTACGAGAAAAAAAAAAAAAACAAAATAAAAAAAACTAGGACCTACCGGTACGTACCGGGAAAGACTAATTCTGCGCCAGCTTCCTTTTGTCGGCGAGTCAATAGTCTATTCCGCGGTGAAGTTTTCCGCTCCCTTCCCCTCCTGGATCGTCGAATTGTAGTCCACAATAAGACTTGACTGGCCATGGTGGACCGCCCGCAGAGGGGGCCGGGGTGTGCTTAAATGCCAACCGATGCAGGAAAGAAAAACCTGCTTGAGAGTCGAGACACCTGCCCTGAGAGCCTAGACACAATGCTGGACAAAAGCTTAGGTTGGTTGACCTCCATTCTCCCTCCCCCTTTATGACTTGACTACGAATCTGTCTCTCAATCTTTGGTGGTAGTATGGTGGTTCTCTTCCTACCGGGAGACTACTCCCGGTAGTTCCCACTAGTTTAGTGAAAGCTGCAACCGCTGAACCCGAACCTGGCTGGCCTGGAGCCGAGACCACCTAGTCTAGTACCTATATGACCTGTATTATTACTCAGACTCTCAGACTCCTATGAGCGGATCCGATTCTGCTTCCCTTAAATCCCGACGCTAAGGATTTCGATTCCGATCTGTCCACCCTTCCCGACGGCTCGGGCTCGGGCCCGATGCATTCTCCAGCGCCGCCGGGCTCTGACGGTACTTTTGCATCATTATTCTTAGTGCCTCCTATTATTACTCTGTCAGTCCACACTCCACAGTAATAATTTGCCATCTATGGCAAGTTACCTCATCCACCCAAGGCCATCTTCGGTAGCCTCTTTTTTGCCCCCTTAGTTCTTCTACGAGTTAATTTAACGAAGAAGATCATCTTATTAAATATGACAGATGTCAGACCGTCTAGATAAACATTAAGATGCAACTGAAATGGATCTAGATTGGGTATATGCAAAAGCACACCACTAGATTTACAGAAATGATATGTACAATATGACTGGTGCGAAGTCTATACAAGGTATACACAAACCGGCTTCTCGACCGATTGTCCCTTCCCGTCGCTCAATTTGGGCAAAGGCGTATGCAGTAGCCATGCCCAAAGAAGAATCGCGCAGTCCCAGTCATGTCGGCGCTTGGGCCAAGAACTCCCCCAAATCCTGGGCGTGTCGCAGGGACCATCCCGGGCAGGCATGGGGTTCGGACCGAAGCAATCGGGCAAACTAGGCGACCCAGTGGGCACGCTTGGCAGGTCGCCTTGGGAGGACATTCAGCTCAGTTGGCATAGTCAATTCCCGAACACCTGATCTGTTTAGGGGTTCGAAGGAACTAGATCTCAATAGCCACGTCGCAACCCCGGGAACGGCTATGACAGGTCACAGAGGGATGCAAGTCAACTCTCCTGAAACGTACTTTTGTCTCACGCTTGGGCGATCAACTTCAATAGTGGCCTGTGCCATACATTAAGGAGGCCGGGGAACCTCCGATGACTGCGACAAGGGCCTTCTACGCTCGGACAAAGCCAGGCTGTCCATGGAAAGGGCTGTCCAGGGATATCGCGACTGCGTGTGCGCGCTGGGCGGAGCTGCTCGCGTGACATCGCCCGTGATCTGCTCTGGGTCCACGAAGTTCGGGAAGTCATCCTGGTCGGTCGAGCTGGATTCTGACGGGCGGGTGTTGACGAGCGAGACAAGTTTCCGCAATACTCCAAACTCCAGCTTCAGTTTGACGCTGTAAACAGCGGCCTTGAGCGTGGTCTGGAGGGTGTACAGTCCCACATACTCCAGCACGAGGAGGGACACATCCAACAAGACAATGACCATATTGATCGCAATCAACTCGTACATGCTCTTGTGTCGTTGCGGATCCTTTTCCGGCCGCAACCGGAGTAAATTGATTGTTTCAACAATGTAGATGCCGGAGATGAGAATCTCCTGAGCGCAAAACCAGGCCAGCTGCATTCGCTCCATCACATTGTACCCTCTGATGATCGCCGTGGAGCCAATGTAAATAGTGCTATAGGTAAGGACAGTCGTAGGAATGAGGAGGATAATTGCATCAATGATGATCATGGCGAGAACACGTCGAAGGGTCGTTTGGCTTTGTACCACCAGATGAAGACGAGAATATAACACAATGGATTGGCCAGGCACCATAAAGTAGAAACCGATTGTCGAAAGAGTGACCGCAAACCACAATGGGCCCACCGCGAAAAATTCCAGCAAATAGCCAACCGCGTGGGGAATGACCCCGAGTACGTCGGACAGAAGCATGCTCCAAAAGTAGAGTCCACTGTAGCGAGTGAAAGTGAGGAAAATGAGAATAACGAGTTCGACTGCATTGTAGAGGGCAATGGCACTGAAGACAGCCATCAAGATCTTGATCGCGAGGCTGGACCCTTGGTAACCTCCGATGAGGCCCTCCGGTGGGTTGGAGAGAGAATCCCACATGACGACAAAGGAAAGACGCTGATACCACCACGGCTGCCGGTCGCCGTTCGACAAAAGGGCGGGAGAGGCACTGGTAACTGTGGATCGCGAAAATATCGTGAGGTCCCGGGGCACAGGGTCAGGCACAGCAGTATAATATGCGAAACTAATGTTGGCCCGCTTGACAATTCCAGAGAGCCATGGTCAGGGACAATGCAGCGCAGGAGTTGGATGGGAAGCCTGGAAGGTCGAGGCGCAGTCTCATTCGCATACTTTAGTTGTTCTAGACCTGACGACTGACCAGCTGATCGGGCGCAATACGCTCGACCACCCGGGTTGGTCGGGTAGGGTGAGGAAACGGCCTCTTGCTTGAACCTCAACCAGTGCTGTCCGAGCGTCTTAAAAGTCCGAATAGCAGCGCGATTCGCCCTCCCAGCAGCTGAAGGTTTCTATTTATGTGCCTGAACGGTGCGCTAGTGGCAGGGGAAACGCAGTGGCGGCAAATGCTGGCGTTCCTGCAGAATGAAGGGGGAGAACGGGCGGCCTCGGATGAACGCGACGCAAGTGAGGATTGGAGACAGGCTGTGAGATGGCGCTGCTGGAAGGTTTATTTGAACTCAATCCCCCAAGGGTGGAGGGGAAGCAAGAGATTTGAGGAAAAGGAGTTTCGACCGGAGAAAGGAGAGAGAAGTCTGGAACAGGGACTGGAGAGAGAAGATCGAAAGCGATCCCCCTTCCCACTCCAGACGACGGGAGGGGTAAAGAGCAGTCGCCACCGGCTATTTGTACTGTACACTGTAAACTGATGGCCGCGATAGATAAGAAACCGGAATGCGAGGAGCGGCGGGAGGGTAAACCGGGGAGAAAATGAATTGAAGGTTCAGTGGAAATTGAGAAGAGGATGGAAAAGAGAAGAGCAGACAGTAGGACGAATATCAAGGCAGAGCGAGGGGAGGGGGGGGGGGAGGGGAGAAAGTCCGGGGTTGGGAAGGAAGGATTGATTGATTATTGAGCCTATGATGGGCGATGATGATGATTTCTCCTGGAATGAAGAAGACAGGCCGGGCCTGAGAGACCAGGCCAGCCACTGGCGTGCCTCGTTACTCAGGCCGAGCCAGTCACATGGCTGGCAGCCGTGCCTTTTCCCTGGTTCTCTCCCCTCTTCACCATCCATGATCCATTCCCTTCTCCCATCTTCTTCGCTTTCTGGATCGATTCGGAAATATCTACGCCTTGTTTTCGCCTTCGCTTCTCGTCCGAGACCTTGACTCTCCTGACTCTCCTGACTCTCCTTCAAAAGAGTTACATGTCGCCAAGATAGATTTCTCCGTGTTTCAACCTTGATTCCATTCCATAGTGTCCGTCGGATTCACCCGATGCCAGGGCTCGATCGATAGCGTGGGCCACCATATGTCAAGGGATAACTTTACGATTGTCGCAAAAGTCTAATGGACATATGTAGTGCGAAATGTGTGAGCCAGTCTACTTACTCAAAGATTCAAAGAGGTCAAATGCGCCCGATCAGTGAAATTATTGTATTTCATTAGCCTGCGGGGCCCCGCCTGGCATTGACTCTTAATCGATGCACCCAGTCTACCCAGTCTCCAGGCCTAGAACCGTCCCCCTTGGACAAACACCGTAAGGGTCTCGACACTGATCCACAACTTGCCACGCGAAGGCCACGCTCTGCAGGTACCATGACATGAAAATGCTTTACACATGTTACAGCACGACACCGCTCATACCAGCCTCTCCCACTAATCTTACAAAGACAGCCCTTGCAGTCTATAATTGGCGGATGCTGATCTCGACTCAAAGACATGGTCCTTGTCACAGACACGGTGTTAGGATCTCGCAGGGGCGATGATTTCCCCTTGAGATGCCACATCCTCACTATCAATTTGAGGACTGAATCTTATCAGCCGGAGAAGGTTGTTGCGTTGCGACGAGCACCCGAGTGATCAGACACTCTGGAACTTGTTAGTACATATTTCCAATGTCGGCCCCATCCAAGACTGTAGTTCTTAGAGGACTGAGCATAACTTCACCGTGTTCTTCGTGGAGACAGCTCAACCATCTTTCCGGTGCTATGGTCGCTTGTGATGATGCGGACCCATAGGTGCCCCGTTCTCATGCACCATCTCAGCGACTGTGACTCGATTGGCTATTTGTTTCAAGGTCATTATTGAGGTTATTATTCACTCCAAACTTTTCGAATGCGACCCGGCACGATTTAGCAGCCGCAACATATCATCCTTTGAAACAGCCGAGTCTGGTTTGACGCCATGGAGCCAGCTTATGATGGTATCGCACCAGACCATCGACATATTTCGCAACCAATATTCCTGGTAGAGTTTAAGGTTAAGAAGATGATGCATCTCTCAGAGCAGTGCAAATACTTCCCGGGCCGCTTTCAGTGCTTGTCGTTCAGTGCGTTCAGTGCGATACTTGAGAGAGTGCCCCATTATTGGACCATTTCTCCACGATTCACTTCCCGGGTCCTGACGCGCACAGGGAAACTTTATCTTGAAGCACCGGGATTCTCAAGTCAGGTTTTGGGGGTGGGAGATGAATAATACCGTGTGCATCCATCTCTTTGCCAAGGCGGTGCGGGGAAACTAGTCGTGATGCCGCGGATCGTCATGGATGATTTCTCAACAATGGAGCTCTCATACCTTGGCGCGGTTCCATCTTCCCCATCGTTGTCTCTCATGAGTGACGATCTTCCTTGGTCCGGCTCATCTTCAGGCTCATGCTCTCGATCACCAAGTGGGTCATGGATGATTGAAGGTGACGATCGCCCCGACAGCCTTTTTTGCACACGATAATCGCCGTCGAACATCTCCCCTCACCGCCGCAATTCCCCAAAAAGGAGAATCGTCGTAAAACTGATAGTATAATCAGTGCCGATGTTGTAGGACGAGCGGGGTCAGACTTTGTCCCCTCTCGTCGATCGTATCCAAAGCCCTGACTCGCTAGTCAAGCACGGTTTTGCGCCAGCTCTTTATAAACCAGGACACCCGGCAGTGCGGAGGTGCCACTGCTCATTGAAATTAAGCTGCGCACACTGAAACTTGCTTCTTCTGTTTCAAGCGGCTTGGAGACTTACGACACTCAGCTCTTGATTTTGAACCAGAAATCGCCGATGAACCATACGTGGGAGTTCGTCGTTGTCGGGGGTGAGTGCCATGAGGATCGTCGTTTGCTCGACCGACTGACTGGAGGCAGGGGGTCCGGCGGGCTGTGCCCTTGCTTCGACGCTCGCTCGCTCCGCTAAACACCCACGAGTCCTGCTGCTGGAAGCCGGCCCACGGAATGAGGATATTTCTCTCCGCGTGGATGGTCAGCGATGGTCGACGTTTCTCCAAGGAGATCTGAACTGGGGTTACAAAACCACGCCCCAGGAACACTGCAATGGACGACAGATCGATTACTCGCGCGGCAAGGTGCTCGGAGGCAGTAGTGCAATCAATTTTGGCGTCTACACAGTGGGCGCCCGTGACGATTATGATCAGTGGGCCGCCCTTGTCGGAGACGAGGCCTTTGGCTGGGATCGGATGAGGAGGAGATTCTGCGGCCTCGAGACCTTTGATGGCGCTATCGTTGACCCGAAAAATGTCAAATACGCGTCTCCCCAAGCCTTGAATCACGGATCTACTGGTGGTTTGCGGGTGGGCTTTGCTCGTGAGTGGGAGCAGGATCTCCCGCTCATGCTGGACGTGTTCGAGCAGGCGGGCCTGGCTCGAAACCCGGACCACAACTCGGGCGACCCGATCGGCATGGGCTTGATCATTAACTCATCTCACAACGGTCGTAGAGTGACCGCGACGGATCTTCTCGAGGGTGTACCGGACAATTTGACGATCATCACGGAAGCGCCCGTGCAGCGGGTGATTTTGGAGGGGACCAAGGCTGTAGGTGTGGAGTCAAACGGAAGACAGTGTATGCTTAGGTTGTTGCATGAAGTACATAAGTACCCAGCTAACGCGCCTCTGCAGATTTGGCCTCCTGCGAAGTGATTCTGACCGCAGGCTCATTGGACACGCCGCGCATCCTGATGCATTCAGGTCTCGGGCCTGCCGACCAACTTCAGCAGTTCCAGATCCCCGTCCGTCAGGATATCCCTGCCCTGGGCAAGGGTCTGCGGGATCATTTCTTCGCCCCGTTGTGCTTCAAACGCGATCCCGCAACCAACGACCGCAATGCATTCTTCAACGATCAAGCCGCCATGAAGACCGCCATGGCGCAATGGAACAAGAATGGCACGGGGCCTTGGGCGCGGCATTCGTGCCAGATCGCCGCCGGCTGGCTCAAGTCCAACCGGCTGGTGCGGACGGCAGAATTCCAGGCTCTTCCCACCGACGTGCAAGACTTCCTGCAACGCAAGACGGTCCCGCACTACGAGTTCCTCACGCATTTTCCCCTGCATCTCGTGGCGCCGGAATGGCCGCCGGATTACAGCTACATCTGCATGCTGGTGTTCCTGATGAACGAGCAATCCAGCGGCGAGGTGCGACTGCAGTCATCCAACCCCAACGTTCCGTTGTTGTTCGATCCTAAGTTCTTGTCGCATGACTTCGACCGCCGCGCCTGCATCGAGATTTTCCGCGATGCGCTGGAGGTGACCCGCCACCCATCCTTCCAGAAGGATGTGGTCGAGACGGTGATCGCGCCGGCGTCGGACTCGGACGCGGATATCCTGGAGCACTGGAAGAACACGCTGGGGTCGAGCTGGCACATGACGGGGACGGCTAAGATGGGTCGCCCGGGGGAGGCTGACGCTGTAGTGGACAGCCACTTCCGGATGCTGGGGGTGGAGAACCTGCGGATCGCGGACATGAGTGTGGTGCCGGTGTTGACGAACAACCATACGCAGGCGACCGCGTACGTGACGGGCGCCACGTGCGGCGAGGTATTGGTAGGGGAGTATGACTTGGACCGGGAGGTGGCACGGCTATAGTGGAAGGTATATTAGCTTTGAAGTGGTTAGTCCATAGTATTTGCAACGAATGCATACTCCGAATACTCGGAGCCGTCCAATTATACATCGAAGCCATGCTATTGAAGAAGAATCGAATACTAGAAGTGGTGCCATCGAATCCTTGGCATCATATCTGGGATTCCAAATCCATATCAGACTGCGGACTTGGACGAGGGTCAGAGTTGTAATAAGGTACAGCTGATATAAAACAGGTTATAGCTAAAACAACCAATTATGACCATTGGCAATCAAGGTAAATCTTAGCTGTCAAAAGCAGATTTAGTAATCAGATCAAATATAGTGATGGCATCACGAGAACTATCTATAATTTCAACTCATCTATGACTGACATATTACTATTTGTGAGCTGGCTTGCCAACAGCTGTGTGAGGTTGGTAGAAATAATATCACATTGATTGCCACTACAAACAATTGTGCATAATCCTTCCGGCGGTTTAAAGGATTCTAAACCAATCTTCTCCAAGATCAAAACTAGTTTCAAACTCTTAAGGACTGCATATAGTCGTTCACAACCAGCTTGAAACCTCCAACTCCGAGGCACTTTTCTCACTATGCAAATAAGACTGTCCTAGTCTATTTGCATATGATTTGTTAGGGCTTGGTCATTGGCGGTATATATAGTACTAATGTCTGCTTGAAGTAGGCTATATCCACTCGAAACAGTCTCTACCTAATCTATATTAGACATGTGTATAGGAATTTAGAGATACAGATGCTAGGATTATGAATAGAATAACCCCGTAAGCTCTCAGAAGTATGTCATCGACAAAGTACGCTTCTGCGATGCATATGCTAGTTAGTGTAGAATGCAAAGTGCCAGAGCTCTGTCCAGGTTAGAAGACATAATAGACACACTCTGAACCGTATACCAAGCGACACATAATAGGGACCAAATTCTTACATTGATAATGCAGCGGAAAAGCTGAATTTTCATTTTGACGTATTGCACCGTGGACCTGGATATATGAGTATATTGATGACGTCTCTGGTCCAAAGAGGCGGCCGTAGCAGATTGCCGTAGTGGTGGATATGGTACCCCTTAGTACCGAGGCTTACTTCTTGTTTTCCGACGTTATCTCCCACCTCTCGCACCCACTTAACATGCCAAAAGTTCACTGTACTTTCCTCGTACTTTGAATAATGTCTTCAATCACAAAGCATGATCAAGTGATATCATACTTAGCTCTTTTTTCTAAACCAGTTTGACTGCAGGCAGCTGCCTTGTCGCTCTCGTGTGTCAGAAGCACTGGCGGCTCCTCCCGGCTCCCTCCAGCTTGCATGGAGTTTCGTCTCTACTTAGTCTATAGATGCAATAGGCTGATCACCCACAACCAACCACAACAGTTGTCTCAGATGCAAAGCCACCGTAGAGAATTGAATCTATGAGGTTGGCTTATGCAATCCACCTACACCCCCTTCAAATCTTCCAGCCTCCGCCCTGCCGCCACAGCATCAGCCGCACGATGGCGAAGCAGATGGTTCCGGCGGCGACGAACATAGCATTGAAAAGCTGAGCCTTCCAGAAGGATCCTTCCTCCAGGTTCAGCAGCAGCGAGGCGATCGGCGTGCCGATCAGAAACCCGCAGCCAGCGAACATGAAGATCATGCCCAGGCGCGTGCCCACCACGCCCAGGGTCGGCGACATGCGCGTCAGGATCGAGGGCGGCAGGGAGACGATCGCCCCAGAGGCGTAGCCGTACAGTAAGGTGAAGACGATGGTGCCACCCTCGTTCTGGATGGCGATCCACACAAAGGCCAGGATGCTGGCCAGCAGACTGATGGGCACCAGGGTGTTCAGCCCCCCGATGCGGTCCGCCAGGAGACCTGGGGTGATGCGGCCCAGCACGGAGGCGGCGTTGAGCACGGCGAAGATATAGAAGGCCAGGCTGCTGTCATTGTGCAGGTAGTAGGTGAAGAAGCTCTGCAGGTAGAAGAAGGGGAAGTAGAGCCCCACAAAGCTGAAGAACAGGCCAAAGGCAAACACGAGGAACGGCGGCTCCTTGAGCGCCGTGACGTCGACCAGGCTTCGGCTCTGCGCCGGCGGCGGCAGGCGCCGCTTGAGCACCGCCAACGAGATGGCCAGCCCGGCTAGCGCGACGAACCCGATGATGCGCGTCGTCCACCCGAACCCCACCGGGCCGATTAGTTTGTGGAACATGATCGGGTAGATCACCGCGCCAATGCTGCCACCGGACGCCGTGATCCCCGTGGCCACGGCGCGGCGTGAGGTGAACACGCCCAGCTGGACCAGTACAGCCGCGCGCACGGCGTGACCGTCTCCATCCTCTTCCAGACCATCTTTCAGCTCTGGCTCGCCCGGCGCAGCGGCCAACAGACAGTGGCCTTCGACTACCTCACCACAGACCGCAACATTGACCTCCCCATTGACCTCCCCGACCCGCAGGGCATCAACGGAACCTGCGCGAACTTTGTGCCGATGCGGTCCGACGTGGACCCGCGCCTGTCGCTGACGGACTTCCTGCGCCGCACGCAGGACGCGTCCTGGCAGTACACGGAGAACAGCACGGTCGCGATCGCGGACATCTACCGGGCGGCGGGCCTGTCGCGCGCGGCCGACCAGAACGAGGCGCTGTTCCTGTTCCAGCCCTTCGAGCCGGCCGCGCCGACGGCCGGTCCGGACGCGTACCAGCGGTGGCTTGTCATGGCGCGGTCGGAGGTGCGGATGCCCGAGCCCTACGCGGTGGTGTTCGAGGTCAGCCGCACGGCGCAGCCGGATCGGTACCGGGTCAAGTTCGCGTATGACGGGTCGTTCTGGACGGCGGAGGAGACGGCGAGGGAGCTGGCGGCGGTCGAGCGGATGGTGAGTCGGGCGGTGGAGGATCCTGCTGTTACTGTTGGGGAGCTTTTGCGGGAGTCGGACGGTGCGTAGTTGGTTTGACCGGTTCTGTTCTTATACTGAGACTAGCTAGGCAGACATGTAGGAAGATGGCGAATCGGAAATGAAAGATCCGATATGTTTTATTTCTAGTGAAATATCCCTTGTTTCTTAGTAGTATGTATTCCCTACACCCGATACGCCAGAAGTCTAATCAAGGAGAGAGGGCTACGTTGAACACATCACCCACGACCTAACAAATACACACATACTACCGCACAGCACAGCACAGCACAGCACAGCACAGCGCAACACAGCACAAAACTCAACCCCCAACTAACAACCTATCAATTAAAATTCTAACTAAGCGTATCAACCTAGATAACCCTACCCAAACCGAACCCATCCCCAAGCCCCCAAGCCCCCAATATAACCATTTAACCCCCTCCCCAACCCCCGGTTCGAATGTACTAATAGATATACCGGAAATGCAAATTCTCGCGATCGGTGCGGTCCTCGAAGGCATGCGCGAGGTGATCCCCGGCCCCCGCGCCGGGGGAGTCCAGACTCACGCCGGCCTCGCGCAGCAGGCGCTCCTTCTTCTTGTTCTGGGCGATGAGATGGAAGCGCAGGTAGATGACGGCGAGGGTCATGGCGGAGTAGCAGCCGAGGTGGACGCCGAAGGCGATGAAGTAGCGGGGGGCGTCGCGGGCGAGGAAGACTTGGGGGCCTGTGCCGGTTCCAGCGGGATTAGCATGGGATCGAGACCTCCCCTCTTCGTTGCGCCATGCAAGAGGGGGGGGGGGGGAAGGGAAAGGAAAGGAAAGCAGGGCAAAAGGACTCACCGATGGCATTGCCCACGGCCCACGAGACGAAGGTCGCCGCGACGACGGTGGACTTCTTCGTGGCGCCGGCGATGTTGCGCGAGACCATGGACAGACACAGGTTCTGGGCGGACCAGAAGGAGAGGGTGATGTAGTAGCTGATCAGCAGGCCGACCTTGGTGCTGAGGTTCTTGTTCTCGACGGTCATGAGGACGATGGTGCCGATGAAGGAGCTGCATGGGCGTTTGAATAGAAAGAGTTAGCCATAATATAACCCTAACCAGCATCTTACCCGCTATCCCCCGGTCAAGTATGGTGATGGTGGTGGTGGCAACCTACGGAACAATAAACCCCAACATAACCAGAATATTCTGGTTATACCGCTTCACCAGGAACGCACTGGTCAACAGCACGAAGATGATGTAAAACCCGAGCACCATCGCCAGCAGCTGCGTCTGCAGCTCGGTGAAATCAAACCCCGTGATGATGATGTTGGCGAACGCGCCCAGCCCGCTCGTCGGTAGCGTCGTGAACACCTGGATCGCGCAGTAGCAGTACATCTGCGGGTCCTGGAAGGCCTCCCACATCTGGTACGCGCGGAAGGTTTTGTTTTGGAGACCGGTCTGGTTGGCGCGCACGCGCTCGACCATCAGGTGCTTGTCCTCCTCGTTGAAGCATTTGGCCTTCATGGGGGAGTCGGGCATCCACCACAGCACGAAAAAGCCCCAGAGGACGGAGATGCAGCCGTAGGTCAGGAACAGGGCCTGCCAGGATTTGAGGACGGTGGGGCCGTGGCGGCCGATCAGGCTGAAGCAGTACGCCAGCAGCCCGCCGACGATCTGTTGGCCGCCGTTCATCATGTACCTGGTTTTATTGGCCTTAGCATGGTGGTGAGGGGGCAGGTCAGGGAAAGGACATACCAGTACGTCACGGTGGCCGCCTGCTCCTCCCGCTTGTACCACATACTGGACAGCAGGACGAAGGTGGGCTGGCAGGCGGCCTCGAAGATGCCCAGCAGGGTGCGCACGGCGACCAGCCCGGCGAAGTTCTTGCACGCGGCGTGCAGCGCCAGGATGGTGCCCCACAGGATGATATTCACGCCCAGGTATTTGGCGATGCGCACGCGCTGGATGATCCAGTTGGTCGGGTACTCGACGATCAGGACGGCGATGTAGATGCAGGTCGTGAGCCAGGAGTACTGCCGCCACCATGATCAGCTATCAGTAGAGCAGCCCAACATGCTCCAGGAAAAAACCCACCTCCTGCCCCTTCATTCCCGTGTCCGTGCGGATCCCCATGATCGACGCAAACGACATGGTCCCCTTGTCCAGCGCCTGCAGGAAATACGTCAGGATCATCACCACCAGCACGCGCCGGTCGATCATGCGCCGCAGCCGCCGGCTGGTGGCCTCGTCGACCTCGACCGCGCCGCGCGCCGCGTACGCCGCAATCTCCTCATCGACGCGGGCGGCGTCGACCCCCAGCCCCTTCTTCAGGTCCCCGTCCGACGGCGAGAGCACCCGCTCGACGTGGGCGGTCGCCTGGGCGGACTTGTCTTCTTCGTTGGAGCCATGTCGGTGCGACAGGGTGGTGTCGGTGATATGCTCCGCCATGGTTCGATGTCCACTATGCGGAGTAGTGTGGATGGACGCAGGAGGGGAGGGGAGATCAGGGGGTAGGGGAAGGGGGCAGGGGGACGCAGGTCTATTACTTTATACGGTGTAGGGGTACTCCGTAGAGAACGTGACCTTGCCATCTCGTTTATTGTTTTGCTTGGCCAATCCTTCGCGGGGGGTGAATTTCACGCCAATGAGAAAAGCAGGTGTAGTGTAGTGCAGTGCAGTGGTGGGAGGCGAATAGCCAGGTAACTCCTGGGTTGATGCATCTCGCTTAGGGTTGTGGTTGATTGTTACTCTGGGGTCCGGTTTTACCCCATGGGACAAACCACAATACGCGGGGGCGGGTCAAGCCGCAGACCCTTTCCAGTGACAGGAAATTAACCGGCGGGAGTGAATTGACCCGAGAACGCGGGGAAAAAGTCTTGGACTGGAGCTTCGCACGCTTCGCACGCTTCGCTTGGGTGGGCAGACTGCACGAGGGCGCCAATCGCTGCTCTTTTCAGAGGAGGGGTTGGACTTGGCTGGGGAGCGTGCTCGGCGGACGCTGACCCGAATATACAACATGACGACGAGTCAGAGGGAGCAGGCGGGGGAGGAGAAAGAGAAAGAAGCTGGAGCTGCAGCTGGAAGCTAGCAGTACTTACACTTACTTACTTCTACCGACACGCTTCAGTACCGTTGAAAAGTATCTCCTTCCCATCCTCCCATCCTCCCATCCTCCCTCCCTTTCCACCTCCCTCCAACTCCAACCCTAACCTCCCACCAAACCACCCACCAAAATGACCCAACCCGCCCCCCTCACGCCCCCGGCCATCCGCACCCAAATCGACCTCCTGATCACCAACCTGATCAACATCCACGACCCCACCGGCGAATTCCTCCTGCACCTCCCCGACGGCCGCATCATCGACACCAAATCCTGGCACGGCTGGGAATGGACGCACGGGGTGGGACTGTACGGGATCTGGAAATACTACGAGCTGACCGGCTCGGCGCAGCACCTGCAGATCATGCAGGAGTGGTTCGCGGCGCGGTTCGCCGAGGGCGGCACGACCAAGAACATCAACACGATGGCGGTGTTCCTGACGCTGGCCCACCTCTATGAGACGACCCGCGACGCGACCTATCTGCCCTGGCTGGACGCCTGGGCCGAGTGGGCGATGCACGAGCTGCCGCGCACCCGCCACGGCGGCATGCAGCACATCACCTACCTGACGGAAAACCACCAGCAGCTGTGGGACGACACGCTCATGATGACCGTCCTGCCGCTGGCGAAGATCGGGCGGCTGCTGGGCCGCCCGCACTACGTGGCCGAGGCGAAGCGGCAGTGTCTGCTGCACGTGCAGTATCTGTTCGACGCGAAGACGGGGCTGTTCTTCCATGGGTGGCAGTTTACGGACCCCGAAATCTCCGGCACGGCGGGCTTGGGCCAGGGCCAGGGCCACCATTTCGCCGAGGCGCGCTGGGCCAGAGGGAATAGCTGGATTACGATGGTGATCCCGGAGATTGTCGAGTTGCTGGAGCTCGAGGACCACGACCCCTTCCGGGTGCATTTGCTGAGCGTGCTGGAGGCGCAGTGCGCCGCCCTCAAGCGGTTGCAGGAGGCGGACGGGTTCTGGCACACCTTGCTGGATCATCGGGACTCCTACGTCGAGGCCTCGGCCACGGCGGGGTTTGCGTACGGGATCCTCAAGGCCGTGCGGAAGAGGTATCTCGGCAAGGAATACCGGGGGGTGGCGGAGCGGGCGATCGCGGCGGTCGTGGGCGCGGTGGACGCGCACGGCGAGCTGCAGAATACCAGCTTTGGCACGGGCATGGGCGACAGTCTGCAGTTCTACAAGGAGATTCCCCGCACGGCGATGCCGTATGGGCAGGCGATGGCGATCATGGCGTTGGGGGAGTATCTGCGGGGGATTTCGTATTAGATATCAAGAGAAGAATGCGGATAGAGAATGCAGTATAGATGTATAGATTCAAGAGCAGTTTACTGGTTGCCAACAATGTTATCATTCAAAGTCCGAGGAACAGCTACAGCTGACTCCTCAACCACAAGGTCTGCGAATTGCACCAGCCCACCAGCCCATGGACCCCCCACTCCGTGCCCATCCCGCTGGCCTTGTGGCCGCCAAACGGCACGTGGGGCGCGACGTCGAAGTGCGAGTTCACCCACACCGAGCCTGCCTGCAGCTGGTCGACGAGGCGGCGCGCCCGCCCCAGATCGCGACTCCACACCGAGGCGCTCAGCGCGTAGTCGGAGGCGTTGGCGCGGGCGACCACGTCGGCCTCGTCGGCCCATCGGAGCAGCGGCAGGATCGGCGCGAAGGGCTCCTCCTGCACCACGCGCGAGGCCTCGGGCGGGTTGTCCACGATCGTCGGCGGGATGAAGTACCCTGCCCCGAGGTTGGCGGGGACCTCGCCGGCGGCGATGGTCTGCAGGCCGGCCGCCTGGGTCGCGGCCAGCAAGTCGGTGGCCTTGTCGAACTGCATGCGGTTCTGGACGGGGCCGAAGAAGGTGTCCGGGAGGGTGCCGTCGCCGACCTTCAGGGCGCGCACGAACCGCACGAGCTTGTCGCGGAACTGGTCGTAGATCTTCTCGTGGACGTACAGCCGCTTGATCGTCATGCAGATCTGCGAGGAACAGAGGAAGGCGATGGTGCCGATCTGTGGGTGATCGTCAGTGCTGGACCAAGATATGCGACCTCTCCACTCCACCCGGCACTCCACAACCAAGATCCCAAGTCTACAATTTGAGACATCACCCCCCAACCAACGGACCACCTCCACCCACAGCCCAAACTCTCCTTCGTCACTCGCAAGGACAAAGTCCAAGTCCAAGTCCAAGTCAAAAAAAAAAACATACCTTCTGCACCACCGCATCGACATCGACATCCTCACACACAATCGCGGCATCATTCCCCCCCAACTCCAGCGTCACCCTCTTCAGCCCGCGCGCACACCCCTCCATCACCTTGCGGCCGGTGGCACTCGATCCCGTAAAACTAATCTTCTGGATGCCGGGATGCGCCGTCATCCAGGGCCCCAGCTCCTCCCCGCCACTCAGCACCTGCACGACCCCCGGCGGGAAGATCTGGGCGGCGAGCTCCCCCAGCTTCAGCGCGCAGTAGGGCGTGTAGGGGCTGGGCTTGACGAGGAGCACGTTGCCCGTGACCAGGGCGGGCACGATCTTGCCGACGGCCAGCAGGACGGGGAAATTCCAGGGGACAATGGCGCCGCACACGCCGATGGGCACGTAGCGCTGGATGATCTGGCGGTCCGGGGTGTCTTCGATGGTGTGCACCGGAAGATCGAGGAGGGGGATCTGCTGCGTCCAGGTGATGGCCATGTCGACTTCGATCTGCGCCTGGCTGAGCGGTTTGCCCTGTTCCTGGGTGAGGAGGGCGGCCAGGGTGGCCTTGTGGGTTGCGAGGAGGGCGGCGTAGCTGGCGAGGAGGGCGCGGCGGGTCGAGAGCGGGGTGGCGGACCATGCTGGGAGGGCGGATTGCGCGGCCAGCACGGCGGTGTCGAGGTCGGTTGGGCGCGAGACTGGGACGGCGGGGTTCGGGTGGCCGGTGGTCGGGTTGGTGCTGTGTCGGGTCTCGGGGGTTGTGGTGCGTTCGTTGTTGATGATGTTGTAGAATTGCTGGGGTGGGGAGGTTAGTTAGGGT